GGCAATCTTAGGGTAGCATTCTGAGGGTCAAGAGCAAAAGCTTCAGCAAAAGCTCCCTTGAGCCTCAAGCTCAGTTTATGCTGTGTCACTTTTGCCACTTTAGTTTAACTCAAATTAAGTCAAGGCCAGCCTAGATCCAAGGAGCAGAGAAATAAATTCCACTTCCCGATGGAGGAAGAAGCAAAGTCACACTACAAAGGAGCATGAGCACCCAGATATGAGTAACCATTACCATCATATTTGCAACAATGTAATACACACGATATACAATTGTAAGTTAAAACTTTTTTCCAACACTTGTTATTACCTGTCTTGTTAATAATAGCCATTCTAACCGGTGTGAGGTGGTATCTCATTGTAGTTTTAATTTACATTTCCCTAATAGCTAGTGAAGTTGAGCATCTTTTCATGTACCTGTTGAATATTATGCTAAGTGAAATAATAAGTCAGCCAGAAAAGCTAGGAACTATAGATTTCACCCATATGTGGGATATAAACCTGAAACCTGTGGACACAGACAGCCATGTGGGGGTTACCATAAGGAAGGGGTAGGGAGGGTGAGGGGTGGGAGGGTCCTAATTATGGTGACAGAAGATGGTTTTACTCTGGGTGGTGGGCACACAGTGCAATATGCAGACTTTGTATCATAGAAATGTACACTTGGGACCTACACGATCCTATTAACCCATGTCACCCCACTAATTTAATAAAAACTTGAAAAAATATTTTCACTCAGAATTTTGAGGAATTGCTTCATTTTTGCCCCTGAGATCTGTGGTATGGTAATTATTTAACTTTCCTTCTCTCTGGAAGAACTGGAACCTTCTGGTTATTTACAATATACTGACATTTCCGGATGACGTTCGCTGGTGTGAGTTCTTTTTCACTCACCATGTTGACATTCCACTGGCATTTTTGACCTAGAGATCTTCCTGTTCTTTGATCTTATTTCCTCTCCACAGTTTTCTCTACTTGCTCTTTCTAGAACTCCTATTATGTGGATGTTGGACCACTAAACAGATTCTATAATTTTCTTAACTTTTCCACTCTGTTAATCTCTGATTATTTTGTTATACTTTCTGAGAAATTTCTTCAACTATGTTTTTTCTTTTTCTGAATTTTTAATTTCAGCATTCATGTTTTTAATCTTCAATAACTCTTCCTTTCCTCTGACTTTTAAAAAAAAATTCTTATTCTTGTTATAAGAATAAATTCTTATTCTTATTGGATGTTCCTGGTATTATTCATTACATTTTCTTTGAAGTTTTCATTTCATTGCACTGTTTCTGTGTTTTTTGAGGTTTTTGTCTTTTTTTCAGTTTTGTTCTTTTATAGCAGAGGTTGTCCTCAAATCTTTGTGGCCCTTGGCTGCTGGTCACTTACACTAAAAACCGACTGTCAGTTCTGGCGTATAACGAGGCACATTGCCTGCTGGGCTTCGCTGCAGATTGAGCCAGAGGGCAAATGGCTTTTTCCCTGAGTATCTATAGGTCCTCTCTCTAGCGTAGTTCACGTTACCCAGAAAAGTTCTTCCCAGCATTGCCCTGGAGTAAGAGGGGCCCCTGCCTTCTGCTCCATGCTTTCACCCCTGCTAAAAGCACAAGGAGTCCACAGGACCAAGAGTTCATGCTCACCTTGGACCCAAGCTGCTCTTTCTTGATTGTTCTCCCAGCACCTGGACCACAGACTCCATTGCCCAAATGACCTGTATCTCCAAGGCCTGTGTGTGTTTTCCCCACATGATCCTTTAAGAGTGGACCCCACTGCACCCTGGGCCTGAGGAGAAGCTAAGGAGTGGCTGTTTGCAGCAGAGTATAGATGGAGTAGAGAAAATTAGTTTCTAGCCGCAGGTGGAAGATAAAAGACCAGGTCAGGTCTTTGTGTGGCTGTTTATTTTAGAAAATGAAAAATAAATGTGGTTTATTCTGAAAACTGCAAAAAGCAGGGACAGGAAAGGAAAACAGCAAGGAAACCAGGCAAAAGTGGATTTGTGGCAAAAAATAGCAAGGCTTAGGGTCAGAGGCTCTCACTGGTGCAGACCTCCTCCAAAGCCCTTTCTTTTCTCATGCAAGTAAATGTTCATGTTTGTACCTAATTTTTATTGTATATTATTTCCTTAAAGATGGTTTTAAAATTGCATAAGCTTCACAGCCACAAAACCTGGATGTGCAGCTGAGACCAAGGACTATATATTAAAACAAGAGGGAGAGGGAGAGAGACAGGGACAAAGATACATACCTGGCAAAACAGCTGATTCAAAGCAGCATACTTTAAAAAAAAAAAAAAATCCTACGGGACTCCAAAAGAATGGTTCAAGCAATGTAGTGTGAAAATTAATCTGACCAAGAAATAATTCAGGAACTAACATTTACAGGACTCCAACATCAATAACGAACATTTCCCAGCATCGGTCTATCAAGGAAGCAGGCAGAGAGATGTGGCCTGATGTCCGCCATCCTTCAGGATGTGCTGACCCAGCCTGAACTCGTTTTCAGCCTCTTGGAGTAACAAAATCTGCACTTACCCAATGCTGCCACCAGGTGGTAGACGTGGCTTACTCAAAAAAATGCTTTTGCCACACTGCCGAAACAAAAAATGTCTCATTTGGTTCTCAATTTTATGAGTTAAGTACTGTGGTTCTCATCACTTTTTAAATGAGACTAAGTGATGTTCAACATTTTGCTCAGATAGAATGATATTTGCCATGATTTCAACTTGGAGATTTGCAAGATGAGATAAATTAAATTTTGTCAGCACAAGACAGGGGCATTGGAAAAGGCACACTAGAAAGTGTCTGTCTGTCTGTCTGCTTTCCTTCTCTTCCCAGCTGTGCCCTGAACTCCCCCAACTGCACATGGCATGGAGCATGCCTGGAACATGCTGTTCACACCTATTTATTAGCCTGTCTTTCCCCTCCTAGTGTCATCCCCAAGGTGAGATCTTGAAATGCAGGTGCTGTCTCTTTCATTTCTATAGCCCTGGAACCTGTTGGGCATGTACTGAAAGGAAAGGGAATGAATGGACATCTGAAAGCAGGAGGAAGGAATCAACACCCACCCTTCCCTATCCCTCACAGTGGAGCAGGGGCGAGGTTGAGTCTCGGTGGGAAGAAGTCAGCAGCACCACCCTCCCCAAAGGGGTCTTGGCACTCACCCTAAGGCATGCAAAAGAGACCCTCTCCCCCAGCTCCCAGGACCAGAGGGGAACACCCAGAAAGACATGGTCATGTTGCCTGTATGCGGGACTTGGAAAACACTACAATGTCACTCTCGGTGACTCTGTGGTTTGGCGTTAGAAGTAGTTTCAAGGGATGTGACAGTACCCTTGATTTTCCTATCCATTTAGAAGCACCTGGGGCTGATCTTCAGGAGGTGGGAGCCTCCTGAAGGGACACAAATCCCAAATGCACAGGAAGTCTGAATATGCAACTACCCACAGAATATAGAAAACATATTTTTAGCGGAAGCCTCTATGAGAAACAGTATTCTTCAGAAAGCTACTGGATGAGGACAGACACATATACAGGATGCAGTAGTGCTGGGTCTTGGAAGAGGCCAAATTTTTAATAAATAGTGTAAAACAATAAGACACCCACTGACCCTCACTCACCTCCTCCTTCACTGACCTCAAAAACCACCCTCCGAGTCCAAGGCCACCCCTCACACTTAATTCTGCACATAATTCTGCACACCAGGTGATGGTGCAAGCACAGGTCTCCTCCTCGACCACCCCCAAGAACAGAGCCACCCTTCCTCTTGCAAATAGCACCAAGAGCTGGAAGCAATACAATGTCCTACAAATAAGATAACAAATTGACTTCTAATTCCTGGGGACTCTGATCAGATCAGACACAGACACCTGGGCAAGACGCACTCAGCAGTCAAGCAGCGGAGAAATGCGAGCACACTGGCTTTAGGAAGAAGCTGTGGGCAGTGGTGGGCAGGGGCTGGAGGAAGAGAAGTAATGCACACGTGAACAATCCAGGTGGAAGGGGCTGAAGGCCTGGCCCGTGGCCTGGGGTTCTCACATGGGCCCCGGGCCCCCGCAGGACGCCGGCAGAGAGGAGGTGGGAGTGTACAGGCTCGTTCCACGTTGCTCCAGACGACAGGTTAGGCCCATGCCTGAAGGCACAGGGAGGTAGATACCAGCTCAGTCTAGGAGGAAGTTCTGAGCAGCTCAGTGGGACAGAGAGTGAGCTTCCTGTCACTGGACCTATGCAACTGGAGACTGCAGAAACACTGGTCATAGATGGCACAGATACCCTCAATCTCCAGCGTTCCTCCTGATGGTGATTTGAAGGTGCTGGGGTGGATGGACCAACACTGGCCAGCAGGCTGTGGAGGAGAGCACAGTGGTTCCAATACCACCACCCACACTGAGCGTGACTGCCAGGCCCACGAGGGGTCCTTGTGCATCACCTCAAAGGGGAGAGGAGTGGTGGGCAGGGACAGGAAGCAAGAGGAAGGGGGCTGATGGCCTGAGCCTTTGCTCGACACATAAATGCCCTAGTCGAAGCACTCCTAGGGAACATGGCCACAGGTCACACCCTGGACCCACTTCCTCTATGTACATACACGGAAGGGAGTGGGCACATTCTCGTTCCTGCAAGATTAGACTCCCTTTCTCCATACAAGGGGGCTGAAGAGCACCTGACTTTCCTTTCTGAAGACAAAGTAACAGTGTGGGGAAGTAGCAAAACAGAGGAGGTTAAATATTCCCGGTGAGCTTCAGTGTAAAGTTCATCTAATTAAAACTACCCTACGTCCAGTACACATGGAAGCCTTGCTGGCGTGGGCACAGCATTCATGCTGGATCTGCCTCGCAGAAAGCACCAGGGCCTCGGAACTGCCCTCCCGAGTGGCCAGTGCACAGGAGGAGAGGGAGGAGTCAGGGGAAGGAAGAGGTCGACAGCACTCTCTACCTCCAAGAGGAAAAGAGCTCTTCTGGTTCAAAAGACCAAGCTCTGCTGAACCACATGCCAATCTTAATAAGAGCAGAAATAGTTGTAAAAGACAAATTTTAATTTAAGCTGAAAAATAATTTTAGGAGGTGACATTCAGATGTTTCTCAGAAGCAGGCAAATTGGGGCATTCAGTATTTTCTTTTGACACAGGGATCACCTGAGATCCTACAGACAGGAAACGTGAAGATAAATCCAGAGACATATGCATCAGGTACACTCCGAAGTTCACCTGCGAACAAAACAGCAACAACGGCAGCAACCAGCCGGATTAGTCGGCAGCTGAAATCATTTTGCTAGTGGTAATGTTCAACTAAAACTAAGTCAGATCTTTACAGGCAGGCGCTGGGGCTCGACAGTCCTGTCCCGTGGTAAAGCGGAGTGGAAACCAAGGAGGCCCTCTCATTCTGGGGTGTGCTTTCCCAGCAGTCGCCCCATCCCTCGTCACTGCTGGGCTCGTTCTTTTTCCTCCTTCCCTGTCTACCTTGCATTTTCCCTGAGCACATGTGCTGCCAGTTAGGTTCCCCAAATCCTCCAGAATGAAGACAAAAGGTCCGAAATGAAGTCGACTCCAGGTCTGCCATCGATGCAGTGAGCCAGTGAGAACACCCTGGAGCATGTGATGTGTCCCAGACCTGTCCATTCCTGTGACAACATCGGTTTCCGCCCTCCCTCCCCATGTTCCAGGCACCAGGCCAGGGGCTGGGACCAAGGGAATTCCTAAAGATCTGCACACATGTATGTGAAGAGTACAAGGGAACTCTCTGTGCTGTCTTTGTAATTCTTCTGTAAACCTAAAAATACTCAAAAAAGTTTGAACATAATAAAAGATGTGTACACATGAGAATCACAGTGATGCTCTGATGCATGACAGTGGGTGCACCCACCCACGTCCTCTCTGGCATGGTGCAGGCTCCAGGTCCCCATGCCGCTGGGTGACACAGCCCGCCTCAGCGAGCAGACAGACGTGTTGGTGCAACACTCGAGTGCAACCCCCTTGAAGGCCATGTCTATCCCATATCTGCAGGGAGACTGTGTCAATCAAATTCTGTGAACCAAAGCTCTGGTTTTGGAGAAACACAGAAAACGGTACAAAACATTTTACCCTGATTTAACCTGCCAATTTATTATTAGAGAGAGATTAAGTATTTGCACTAATTCAGTTCATTTTCTAGAACTGCTCCATGCAGCCTAACTGCTTACTTGACTTCCTAGAATTCTTTGCAAACAAAAACTCCTCCTAGACAGTGATCCCGAAAATAAATCTCCCTCAAGAATCGGTCTGTTAGAAGTTCAGCTCTTCTAATCTGGACCCCACATCAACAGCATCTCGTCATTTTAACCCTCAGGAAGATGACTTACAAGCTTACTAGAGTGACATTCATTGTGTTTCTATGCAGCCACTCTATTCACCATATGGCATTTCACCCTGCCTGAGAACCCTGCAGAGAAGAAAACAATGACTCAAAAATAAAGTTGCCTTATTTATCGATGCCTCATTTATATGCTCCCTGTGTCTTCAACAAGATTAGGGGGCATCAGAAGCACACATAACAAGAACCCCATAAAAGTGAAAATATGGATGAAAACCAAAGATAAGGTTGTACTACAGATGAAACTTAATGGTGCCCATCAGCCTGTCTTCCCATTTCTAAAAATTACTCGGCACCATTAGGGATATCCTTCTGGGTAGATAACATGCCAGGATCTTAAAATGGGGTGTCGTACTCTGTATTCGTGCTTACCTTTCGCTCTCGATATTCAGAAAGCTTTTGGAAAACGTCTTGGTTTCGTTGCCCAGTCTGCTGGTCGATGCAAATCATCTGGCACCTGTGACAAGGCCCCAGAACCTGGGAGGTGAGGACGGAAAAGACAGCGTTGAATGAAAACAACCAGGCCCTCTGCCTCTGCAGGGAGGACTCCATGTCCAGCAGGGTTTGCATTGTCCTAGGCTGTCCCCCTGCCAGTTTCAAACTCACACACAAATGCTCAATAATTGACCCTTAATTCTAAGGAGCCAGAAGGTGGCACCTCTTCACAGTGCCACTAGGGAATCATCCCTATTCGTTTATCAGCTGGAAAGGTTGTGCTTCAGGGCTTTGCAGAGAGACAGGAGTGGTTGTGAATCTCAGACGGTTACCGGGAGACAGTGGGGAGCCTCCAGGAAGAAAGGAACTGACTGACGGAGGACAGACTGGGTGGGAGAAGATGAACAGCCACAGCCCAGCGCCGTGTCTCTGGGAGGATGTCACCAGAAAGCCCCCAAGCGTGTCCCTGTCCTCTGACCCAGCAATTTCACTACCAGGATTCAACCCAAGAAAGGAATCAGAAGTGCAAACACAGGTTCAAATACAAGGGCATTTCTCACATTATTTATAGTAGGGAAAATCTGGTAGTATCTTAAATACCAAATAGCAGAGAACGGTTAAACCAACCTCGCTGCATCCATATGGCATGTCATGCAGGTTTTAAAATTAATCTATAAAGGGCTTTAAGTAAAATAGAAAGTGTTTATTTTTACAACCAAAATAAGCAGGGAACAAAATTACACATGCATTATTGTATATGTGTGTACATATACATACACTTGTACACACAAGCACAGAACACAGTACACAGCACACAGCTTCTTACCAGGGTCCTACTCGCACTTCTATTCTGGACAGTCCACCACGAGCATGACTTGCTTTTATAGAAAGAAAAGTCCCCCATAAATGTTAACATAAAAAAAGAAAGAATGCTGTTCAGCAGTGACAAGATTTTTTTTTTTATTGCACACAGAAAAGATGCAAAGGCACTTGACTTTCCCATGACCATTTTCTCCTCCGCTCACACACGGGCAGGCACAAAGCAAGCGCTGGAATAGAAACACTCAACTAAATCTGGATGTGTCTCAGCCTCTATCACCGGTGTTCTGGCTGTGGGGCATCAAACCACAGGAAACACAACCTCACTGTGGTACCCAGGTTCAGATTCCAGCCTCCTCATGAGCAGCTGGCGTGCCGTACAGGAGTTCTGCCTGGTATTCACCGTGGGGTGCTCGGCAGACCTGTGACCTCTGCTGGCCTTGTTTCCCCGTCCAGCTCCTCGGCTGGATTTGATAAGGAGTCCAGATACTGTTTCTGAGAAGCCCGGCTCAGGCCTGGCCCTCAGTCGTGCTCACACATGGAAACTGTCATTTGGGGAGCATGAGATGGTTTATACAACTAATAACACAACTATTACTAGAGTGATTTCATGCCCCACTGAAGAACCAGGCACATTCTGTGCAGACGAGCATCCCTCTGCCTCTAGCTCCTCCTTAGCTTTCCTGCCCACTCATTCCCACCAGTGATTGAGCACGGACTCTGGGCCAGGACTGTTCAGGGCCCCAGAGGTACGGAAGGGACACAACAGACCTGGTCCCCGTCCTTGAGTGCCCTGAAGAAGCGAGCAGGTGCTGTGCAGACCCTGACCATGTGCTGGGTCAGGAACATCCTTTCCGAGGCGTTAACACCCGAGCTGAGGTGAGGCCATGAAGTAGCTGCCGAAAGGATGTGCCAGGCAGAAGGGGCGGCAAGGGCAAAGGCCCTGGGGCAGGAAGCCTGGCTCGATTAGGGAATGGAGAGAAGGTGGCTATGACAGGTGGAGGGGGCAGGGTGATGAGCCTGGAGAGGCTGGTGAGTTAGGAGAGAATGCAGGCTTAGGTCTGGAGGATGCCTGGGAGGAGCATTATGCCCCCAAGCCTGGGGAGATGGGGGCATCCAGTGGCTTTGCCTCTGACTGCAAGCTCCTCCCAGCAAGGCAAGAAGCTGGAGCGTGGGGAGAAGGCGCAGCAGCCATTGCAGGGAAGGGCCACTAAGCATCTGAGGTCCTGCTCCATGAGCTTCAGACAGCCAGAAAGTCCAACAACTTCAGCAAGACAAAATTCTTATAGACACAAGCACTCCCAGAAAACAGAATTAAGCCTAGACATAAGAACAAGGTAGAGGATGCACTGAGCCCTCCATCACCTGTATGGGCGTATTCTCTCTTCCTCATGTGACACTCACTGCTGCCACCCTTGTGGGGATCAGAGACGGGTCATTGCTAGGGGCGCTGCAGGATGCAGATGTCACACACCCTCCTGCTGAGGCTTCCTAGGTAAGAGTCAAAGACTAGGAGAGATTCCCACCTGCCATCAGCCTGGGCTAGGCTTCCGTCTCCATTAGCAGCCCTTAAGGAAGGATAACAGAACTTCCCAGAACTCACCTGGAAATGCAAGGAACCAATTGAAATCTCATCCCATTTCTCTTCTTCAAAAGCTTTTGTTCCATTGGTGATAATATTGGCACGGAAACGTGAGATGAGATCTTTCATCGGGAATAATTCCTTCTTTCCATTCTCATCACTGTTTAAGACATATCAAAAGGGGAAAGGGGGAGAGTAAGATAATTATACTGTTGTAATAATTCAATGTTTCTGCTATTTAAAACCTGACGTCATGAACTGTACTCTGCCCTGAGGCCTGGGTGATCAGAACCATGTTTTACTGTGAGGTCTGAAGGCAGACCTCAGTGGTCTCCTTCAGGACATGGGGCCAAGTCTGGGGAGAAGCCCTCAAGGGGCAGTGTAAAGGGTGAGTAGGTCTTAATTTAAGACATGAAGGATTTTGGAAACCAGAAGAAACGAAGTCAAGTGAATAAACTGAGAAAATACCAGTTCTATGTGGTAAGTCAGAATAAGGCATTTAAAGAGTTTCTAGCTTAATTACCAAGACATCACACTCTTTGGGGGATACTAAAACATCATAAAACAATACAGAGTACATTTGGGAGGCAATCTTTATTTCCTAACTCCCATTCTATTTGCAATTTGTGAGTGCATATGCTATTTTTATAGTTCTTGTTTAAAGTTTGTGTTGACTGCCACGAGGTCCCGTGAGGTGGCTCTCTGCACCTCCACGCACCTCTCCCCCAAGGGAAAGGGCATTAACAAGCATCTGAAAACTTAACGAAAGGGCACAGTGCTGTATCTTGTTATATTGAGTGTAAGAACGGGTGAAACTCCCGTGGTGAAAGGAGGGGGAACAGTGATGGCCTGCTGCAGTGGGGTTCACAAGTGGGGTAGAGAGAGGCTTCTGAGGTACCAGACATGTGCTCTACTTGATCTGGGTGGTGGTCACGTGGGTACATACGTCTGTCAGGTTTACTGAGCTGTGGACTTAATGACTTTTGTGCTTTGTTGTGCTTCAACAAATACTTTAAAAGTTGTCTAAGTTGGGAGAAAGCCTTGAGTGTGACAGGAGTTTTCCCTGGAGACAGAACTGAAGGGCTCTGGGGAGGAAGGGGCCCATCCGCGGCTGTTCGGTCCCCTTCCCAATAGTGAGCGGAGCGAGGGGCCTGGAGCAGGATGGCTGAGTCTAGCTTTTCCTCCAACTGTGCGACTCCCGTGACCTTGAGAACTACAGCTTCCTCGTCTAAAATGAGAGGGTTAGCACCTTCCAGGCCTAAAATCCTTTGATTATAGATTTACCCTCCAGGTTATAACCCTTCCTTTTATGCTTCATTTTTTAATGAAAAGTTTTGTGTCCAAAAGCTGTCGTGGCCAACATGTATAGGACTGCGAATCCGAATTTCAGATTCACTTGGTGAATCTGAAAACAACACAGATACACCAACCAGGGCCCCCAGGGACTGTCGCTATGTACTAGCCGTGGGACTGTTCCTCTTACCTTTGAGCACCGGTCCCACCCATGGGGCGGGGGGGGGGCGTGTTGTGAGCCTTGCACCAACCGGTTGGAAATGCGCCACCTGCTGGTGGGAACCAGGCTTGCAGCAAGCCCGTCCACACCTCCTACCTCGCCACACCACGCATCCCAGAAAACCGCAGACCCGCTCTCCGGCGCTCTGGGTACCTGAGGAGGGGGTCGCTCGATGCGGCTCAAACTCAGTGAGCACCCAGGGACCCGGCAGCCGTGTCCACTTTGCTCCCAAGAAGACTGAGCTGGGCCAGGGTCAGAGAGCAATAGCGTATGTTCTTGCTAGCGACATAAACAGGAATCACTGCGAACAGTCTTTGTCACATTTATTAAGCTGCACTTGTGTATCTTTTCGAGTGTGCACACAAACACGCAGGACTCTGCGGCCTGTGGGAGTCACAGGATGCCCGGCTCACGGAGCTGACGGTGGAGACACACACCTCTCTCCGTCCCCTGGACTAGGATCGAGCAGTCCAGCTCTCGCATACAGTGATTTTTTTCCCGTAATTGTCTGATGACCGTGGGGCAGCAATCTCCTCTAAAGAGCCATGAAGGAGACTGGACCAGCCACGACCCTTTCCGGGCTGACCGCATCACTGTCCGGGCCCTTGGGAGAGCACTGGGTGGGAGCGAGCAGGCAGGGGTGCTGGTTCTGAAGACGGATACAGACAAGTGATATCTACAACTTTAAAACCTTTCAGGACCCCTCTTCTTTCCCCTCAAAAGGACTGCGAAGTAGGAGCAAGGCTCCTAGGGGACAGGAGATAGCAGGAGGGTGGGCAATGTGATTAGATCACATTGGTGGCAATTCCACTAAAGCAGATGTTCAGAAATGGAGTGATTAAAAAATGAGAATCGGGGTTCTCTACGAAGCATCTCGAGGGCATCAGGAAGGTCGTTGGAAGGTAAAAGAGAACCCTCAGAAAGATAAGTGGGAACTAACCTACAGGCTCTGTAGTTTCTCTCGGTCTCTGTCTCTTCACAGTCTGGACCCCATGACTCAGGAACTCTCCCCCCAGGTTGGTGCCAGGCCCACTTGCAGGGCAAGTGGATACACCTGCATGTTATTTGCGAGGTAAACAGCAAGTAGGAAAAGAATCTCTCTTACCTGGTGGTTAGCTGCTGCTGAAGTTCCAAAACACTGGATCTATTCACCAGCAGATACTGGGCCTCATTAACCAGAGAAAGGGTGGCTGTCGCACCAGCAGACTGACCTAAAAGTGATGGCGTATTTAAAGAGAGATGGAAACAACCTTACAGTCCATTAATGGATAACTAAATAAAGATGTGGTGCATACACACACACACACATACACACACATACATCTCTCTCTCTCTGAGGTCTGTCTGGAAGAAGTCCAGCCATTATTAATATAGCATTGGTTTGTGTAACATCAATGTAACCTGGAAGCCAAGGAGAATTGACTGGAATGCGCATGCATGAACAATGACAACTTCACTGTACTAGTTGGTGAGGTGGGGGGTGGGCAGCAGTGGACACTGTTGAGTGAGCAGCACGTGTACTGTGTGGCCGTTGCATTCAAAATGACTGAGCAAGTAGAAAAACGAATCTGCATCAAATTTTGCATTAGGCTTGAACATCCCTCTGTGGAAACCATTTGGATGATTCAGAAGCCACAGCTGTGGGCAACTGGTGATTCTCAATGTTGTCATGACAATGTGCCCACTCATGCATCATGTCTCATGCAGATTTTTTTGGCAAAACATTAAATCACCCAGGTGATTCAGCCCTCTTACAGCCCAGATTTGGTGCCCTAAGACTTCTGGCTTTTCCCAAAACTAAAATCACCTTTGAAAAGGAAGAGATTTCAAATCATCGATGAAATTCAGGAAAGTACAACAGGGCAGCTGATGGCTATTGGGAGAACTGTGTGAGGTCCCAAAGTGCCTACTTTGAAGGGGACGGACATGTCATTGTCCTATGTACAGTGTTTCTTGTAGCTTGTATCTTCTTCATTAAGTGTCTCTATTTTTCATATTACATGGCTGGATACCTTCTGAACAGACTATAATACTTTTCAGCCATAAAAAGAAGGAAATCTTGCCACAGGGACAGCACAGATGGATCTGGAGACTGTTATGCTAAGTGAAATAACTCAGACAGAAAAAGACAAATACCATATGATCTCACTTGTATGTGGAATCCAAAGAACAAAAACTAAAGCAATCTCACAGATACAGAGAACAAACTGGTGGTTGCCAGAGGCAAGGGGGGTGGTGGGTAAGCAAAATGAGTGAAGGAGGTCAAAACTGACTATAATTAATAATACTGTATTTCATATTTGAAGTTGCTAGAAGAGTAAATCTTAAAACTACTCATTGTAAGAAAAAATCGTTGTAACTGTGTGGTGATGGGTATAAACTAGATTATGGTGATAATTTCATAATATATACAAATATCAAATCCATTATGTTGTACACCTGAAACTAACATAATGTTTTATGTCAATTAGCCCTCCATAAAAAAATTTAATACACTTTATTTTTAATTTTAAAAAATAAAATAGAAGTTGCTTTCTTGGAAGGCAAATGAATCATGCTCCATTGACTTGCATGTTTTAAAAACAGAGACTATTTCTACAAGGGAAAAAATGGTGCCCTGGAAATAATAAAAATGTCTCAGGCATGGCTCAAACCTCTCAAAAACTAAAAGAAAATGCATGTCAGGAGCCAACCAATAGCCGACCCTTGACACAGTCAGGTCAGATGAGACGCATCTGCACAGCAGAGACAACTATGGTCAGACCTCCTGTCTATCTCCTCCTGTATGCCTGTCCCTGCTAGCAATAGGTGGTGGGATACCTGTGTGTTATAACGAAAAATCTGCACAATAACTCTGATTCTGTGTGAAATGACTTGCTGACCACAGAACAGAAATTCCTAACAACATTAATGCTGCCTACTTCCCCCACCTGGGAAGTTGGGGACAAAATTAAACTATGGGCAGACCAACTGCCAGAACGCTGAAGGAAGCTGTTGCTAGGAATGTTTCTTGAGGAGTCACCACTTAAAAGCTTAAGATTTATTAGAGCCACTACCCCTCCCATATCCTGGACAGGAATGTAAAGATGCAAGGAGTTCTAGTTGAATATTATAATCTCAATACATGGAAATGAATACAAAACATGCCCCCCCCCAAGATGTATAAATCAAAAGACCTAGGTAGGAAACCTAGGCAAATCTAACCTCAATGGACAATAGCTAATTTCTATATAACCTATAAATCACCCGTTGTACCCTTTTAATTTAGACCAATCCCTAGAATCTTAATAGACACCTAGTTACTAATTGGCACCTGAAAGTTTGTGCCTGTATAGCTTCGTTGGCTATCTAATGACCCTCTTGCTTAAAATAACCTTTGTTTAATATGGTTGATCTGTGGGACCTCCTATACTTTTCGGTTACTTTTTGGTTTAACATGATTGATCTGTAAAACCTTCTGTACTTTTCAAAGTTATTTCTATAGTAACTGTTTCTGTTTTAATAATCACATTATGCATTCAATGTTGTACAGCCTCCCCTATAAAAATAAAGATTGATTTTTCTCAGTGAGTCAGGCCCAAAAAGCCTGGCTGTCCTCCGGCACCCGACTTGGTGTCTTGCTCCAGTCTCTTCACCTGTGCTGTGCATCCTTCATGGACCCTGAGACCCTGCCGAGGCTGGACCCCGGCAAATGAGCTCCTAGAATACTCTGTTAGTGATCTGAAAATAATAGTACTAAAATGCTGAAGTGCAGCTGTTCCAGCAGAGAGGACTTGGAGGTGACTTTGATGAGAGCAGAAAGGGGTAGAGGTGTGGACTGGGGGCCCTTCCCCAGACAGCGAGGGAGAGGGGCCGGATGGGGGCCTCAGGCCCAGGAAGGCCTTCCGAATAGTTGGAAAGAAGCTGGTTTTTGTCCTTGGGCAAGTGCGAAATACTGACTTTAAAAATAAATAATACACATTTTTAAACTACTGAAAGGGACTGAACAGTGAAAGAAAATATCAGATGTGTCCAGTACTGCTGGCAGCCCATGGCCTGGCTTCCATCTCCCCTGTGTGGGGCCAGCCAGCATCGCTGTCTTTAACCACAACGTTGATGAAAAGGACTGGCTGGACCAGAACCTAGTGAGCCGTCCTCAAACCAGGTTTGAGGACCCTGGAACACACGTAAATGGATACTTCTAAGAGAATCACTTCCCAGATCCTCCCCTTCCAAATGCCCTCTTTGCTGAAATGGCTCTGTCAGAGAAGGGGGTTGACATGGCTGTCAGGAAGTGGGCGCTATCCCAGCCCCTTCTACGAAGGGACTTTGTCACAGAGGGAGGGCTGCACCTCTCCTTGGGCACATCGCTGCCCCTGGGGACTAAAACTCTCCAGGGCAGAAAACAAAGGCCCCATTCAAAGCCAGGGTCTGTGCTGAGATAATAAAAGTCTCTACAGCTTGGTGAATGACCCCCCTGTAGGTCAAAGGGGTTCCAATTCTTCACTCTCCACAAAACTGCCACACCTAATTAAGTTGTCAAGTGACATGATTAAAGTCATCTTAATGTTAGATCCCTGGGACTTAGAAGAAAGCTTTGAGTGACAGTAGGTTAACCATATTCCTTTCATCCCAAGCTTTTCATTGACTGAAATCAGATTTTTCAGAAAAGAACCAAGACTGAGCACCAGCTACTCTGATCATAAGTGACAGCTATTGGTGAATATGGGAATTAATGAAGGAAAGCCCAGCCATCTCACTAAGAGATTCATTTTCAAAAATGTTTTCACTGTCTTTTGAAATTTATAATAGACTTTTGTTGCTTTGATCAACTGTATATTATTAAAAATTATGATAACTCAACCTAGAAGAAATTTCCTAATACTTAGGCTCTTAATGATGACAGTTAATTCTAAAAATGTTTATACTTTCCAATTTACATAGAATTTTAGTTTCAGATAAATATAATACGGTGCTCAAAGAAAGATTGTCAAGCATAAAATATAGAACACTAAGATAAAATCCCATTAAAAAAGTAGAATGGAAATGTAAGTTGAAGAAGGAAAAGGAAAGATAAAATATCTGATGATTAAAAGGCAGCTTGTATATATATTTAATACATATTCATGGGAACCAAATCACTGAAATATTGAGATTCCACTGGCTAATGTTTAAAAGGATGATCTACAAGTTTTAATTTTGAATGACTATATTTATAATATGCTATACTATGGAGACATTGGTTAATAAAATCATATAGGTTTCAAGTGTACAGTTCCACAGTACATCATTTGTATATTGTATTGTGTGTTTACCACCCAAAGTCAAGTCTCTTTCTGTCACCATTTATCCGCCCTTTACCTTCTTCTGCCTCCCTCCAACCCCTCTTTCCCTCTGGTAATCATCTTACTGTTTTCTGCATCTACGAGATTTATTTTTCTTTGCTTAATCCCTTCACCTTTTTCACCCAGCCCCCAAACTCACCTCCCCCATGGCAGCTGTCAGTCTGTTCTCCATATCTATGAGTCTGTTTCTCTTTGCTTGCTAGTTTATTTTGCTCATTAGATTCCACATATAACTGAAATCATATGGTACTTGTCTTTCTCTGACTGGCTTATTTCACTTAGCATAATACTCTCTATGTCCAGCCATGCTGTCACAAAAAGTTAGATTTCCTTCATTTTTATGGCCAAGTAGTAGTCCATTGTGTAGATGTACTACAACTTCTTTATCCACTCATCTACTGATGGGCACTGGGCTGCTTCCATGTTTTGGCCACTATAAATAACACTGCAATGAACATAGGGGTACATATATTCTTTCGAATCAGTCTTTTGGGTTTCTCTGGGTATATTCCCAGAAGTAGAATCACTGGAGAGTCACAAATCAGTAGAGTCACAAAATAGTTCCATGTTTAATTTTTTGAAGAAACTCTATACTGTTTTCCACAATGACTGCCTTAATCTGCATTCTGACCAACAGTGCACTGAGGACCCCCCTTTCTCCACATCCTTGCCAGCACTTGTTTGTTGATTTATTGATGATAGCCATTCTGACAGGTATGAGATTTTAATTTGCATTTCTCTGATGATTACTGACATTGAGCATCTTTTTGTATGTCTATTGGCCATCTGTATGTCCTCTTTGCATAAGTGTTTTATTCGTGTTCTTTGCCCATTTTGTAATTGGCCATTCTGTTTGGCTTTTGGGTGTTGAATTGTATGAGTTCTTTAAAATTTTGGACATTATCCCTATCAGATGTACCACTGGTGAATATGTCCTACCATTCATTTTGTTGACAGTTTCCTTTGCTGTGCAGAAACTTTAGTTTGAGGTTGTCCCATTTTTTTATTTTTTTTTTTTGTTTCCCTTGCCTGAGGAGATTTGTCAGAAAATACATTGCTATGAGAAATGTTTGAGATTTTACTGCCAATGTTGTCTTCTAGGATTTTCATGGTTTCAAGTCTAACATTTAAGCCTTTAATCCATTTTGAGTTTATTCTTATGTATGGTATAAGAAGGTGGTCTCATACCTTCTATTTCTTGTGCATATGTGTCCAATTTTTTGTACATATGAGTCCAATTTTCCCAACACCAAATATTGAATAGACTGTCTTTACCCCATTGTATGATCTTGCCTCCTCTGTCAAATATTGACCATAAAGGTGTAGGTTTATTTCCGGGTTCTCTATTCTGTTCCATTGATCTATATGTCTGTCTTTATGCCAGTACCATGCTGTTTTTATTACTATGGCTTTGTAATACATTTTGATATCAGGTCACATGATTTCTCCAACTTTGTTCTTCTTTCTCAAGATTGCTGTGGCTATTATTTTGTTTGTGTGTGTGGTTCCACATAAACTTTTGGAGTATTTGTTCTAGTGCCGTGAAATGTGCCATTGCTATCTTTATAGTAATTGTGTTTAATCTATAGATTGCTTTGGGTACTATGGACATTTTAATATTAGTTCTTCCTCTCCATGAACATGGTATATGCTTCCACTTATTTGTATATTCTTCAGTATCTTTCTTCAGTGTCTTATAATTTTCTGAGTACAAGTGCTTTACCTCATTTGTTAAATTAACCCCTAAGTATTTTTGATGCAATTGTTTTTTTTAAGCAATGGGATTATTTTCTTAGTCCATTTCTGATAGTTTATTATTGGTGTATAAAAATGCAAACAATTTGCCTTTACTGGTGTGGCTCAGTTGGTTGGGCATCATTCTGAAAAGGAAAGGTCACTGGTTCGATTCCCAGTCAGGGCACGTGCCTGGGTTGTGGGTTCAGTCCCTGGGTCGGTGCATGTCCCAGGCAACCAATCAATGTTTCTCTCTCCTATCAATACTTCTCTCCTTCTCTTTCTCCCTCCCTTCCCCTCCCTCTAAATAAAATTTTTAATGCAACTAATTTATGGATATTTATTTTGTATTCTGCTACTTTACTGAATTCATTTATTCTAGTAGTTTTTGGGTGGAATCATTAGGGTTCTCTCTATATAGTATAATATCATCTGCAAATAATGACAGAATCCATGTCTGTGTATGTTTTCAGTTTTGTTCTCGTGATTGATTTCTGGTTTCATACTGTTGTCATTAGTGATGCATGATATGATTTCAATCTTCTTAAACTTATTGAGACTTGTTTTCTCTCTAACATGTAGTCTATCTTAGACTATGTTCCAAGTGCAGTTGAAAAGAATGTATATTCTGTTGCTTTGGGGTGAAATGCTCTGAAGATATCAGTTAAATCCATCTGATCTAGTGTGTCATTTAAGGCTGCTATTTCCTTCTTGATTTTCTGTCTCAAATATTTATTCATTGATGTCAACATGGTGCTAAAACTCTGTACTGTCACTGTATTACAATTGACCTCTCCCTTTATGTCCATCAAGATTTGCATTATATATTTAGGTGCTCCTATGTCAGGCACATAAATGTTATAAGGGTTACGTTGTCTTGTTGGATTGCTCCCTTTATCATTACATAGTGTCTTCTTTGTCTCTTCCTATACCCTTTGTTTTAAACTCTTTTTTTTAATATTTTATTTATTTATTTTTAGAGAGGGAAGGGAGGGAGAAAGAGAGAGAGAGAGAAACATCAATGTGCGGTTGCTGGGGGTCATGGCCTGCAACCCAGGCATGTGCCCTGACTGAGAATCGAACCGTGACACTTTGGTTCTCAGCCCACACTCAATCCACTGAGCTACACCAGCCAGGGCTTGTTTTAAAATCTTACTTGACCCTTTGTTTTACAGCTACCCCAGCTTTTTTTTTTCATTTCCATTTGCATGAAATGTCTTTTTCCACCTTTTTATTTTTAGTCTGTGTGCATCTTTAATTCAGAGGTGGTTCTCTAATAGACAGCATATATATGGGTCTTGTTTTCTATCCATTCCGCTATGCTATGTCTTTTGAATGGAGCATTTAAGCCATTTAAAGTGATTACTGATAAGTACATATTTGTTGCCATTTTATTCTTTATAACTATGTTCTTCTGGTTTTCTTCTTCTTCTTTTTAAATAAGACCCTTAAAATTTCCTTAATACTGGTTTGGTGGCAATGAACTCCTGTTAAGATGCAGCTCCAAACTCACCTCTTCCCTAAAGCCCTTCATAACTCTGCAGGTGTAGAGGATGCTTGCCCCATGCTCATGCCCTTTGCACAGACCTTTACTATATAGCTGCTGTCTGCTGGTGAGTCGTGGCCTCTAACCTGAGATGCAGATGGAAAATGGTTCAACTTTAGGTGGTGGGTATACAGTGTGGTATACAGATCTAGTATCATAGAAACATACATGTGACACCTGTGTGGTCCTGTTCACCAATGTCACCTGTTGGGGACCACCCTGCCTGGTCTCAGGAAGCTGTAACCCCCCGTGACTTAGGCTGAGTGAAAGACCTCTGGACCAGGAGCCACTAAGGAGACAAAAACTTATTTCCCTGGCACGAACGCTGCTTGTTGTGTGCCTGACCTCCTAAGCTTGATCAGTTAGCCAATGACAGGTAAGATTTCCCACAGAGGGAATTGCCTAAGACAGGCATGACCATGAGGAGGCCTCTGGGAAGAGATTTGGGGCTGTGGAAATGAAGGGGTGATGGACATCAACCCCTGCCCCCTCGGCTTTGTCAAAGCCTGAATCCTTGTTCTTAGAAGTGAGAAATCCAAGTCTCCTGGCTGCCTTTGTCTTCTCTGTTAACTCAGGCCTGCAGGGGCAGCCCAGACCAGAAACAGCGGACCCCCGGGGTGATCAGGCCTGGGACATAGAATATGCAAGACACTGTGAGATCTGTTTGCTGGAGGATGTTATTAGATTAGAATTTGAAGGCACAGACAGGAAACCAAAACCAGCCCTTTGAGCCTTGTTAGATAAAACCCCAAACTCTGCCCAGAATCACAGCAGGGGTTCTGTCTGCACCTTTGTAAGTCACCTACTTCTTTTGATCTTTTCTGCCAGACTGTGAAACCACAAATTAGGTCCGTATTCTCAATAAAAATCTGCTTGGGAATGGAAACGGGACACTCTCCACTAGAGAGAGTGGCCATTCTGTCCCTATTCCCCCACAGGACCTGGTTGTCTCTGTGTACGTTTTTCTTGTGAGTCGACAAGCATCCACAGCAGAGATGGATACTGCTGGCCAGTATCTGCCACAGTCACCCAATAAACTTAATGAAAAGTATCTCAAAAATAAAAATAAATTTTTTTCCAAAAAATAAACTAAACTGAGATCCTAAAGGACCATGACTATTGCTTAATAACCTCAGCCGGCCTCCAGAGGACCAAGCTAAGCCCCAGGTAAGCGGGAGGTACTGTGAATAATTGGAACATATTCAATAAGATCATTTAAAGGGTATCACTGGTCCTCAAGAATCCCACTCCTTATCTGTCTCTACTCATGAAAGTGTTCATTTCTCTCCCATCTAGTCATGTCTCTAACCTAACCCATGCCCAAACACCACCAGCTCACCTGCTCACTAAAATGAGCAGAATTTTTCCCCCTTCCCCATCACATAACAACTCAAATTTTGAAACAGCTCATGACATGGAAAATTGTTAGAACTTGTAAAAGTCTAAGTAGATTACATCCTTTGATTCCTTCCTCTGTCACACATTTTCAGGGAGTCACAGGTTCACCTGTGCAGGTCCAAGACCCTATTCCTAGTCCCCATGTGATCAAAATGCTATTTGGATTCACAAACCAGTTTCTCTGAGAGCTGATCACGAGGACAGGTCATCCCTGCACCAACCTGTAATGGAGCAATGATCCATGCCTTCATTCATCTAGCATTTACTGAGCAACTACTATTTGCCAGTGCTGTTCTAAGCATGGGGCATACAGCACTGAACAAAGCAGACAAAAATCCCTGCCCTCCCAGAGCTCACGCTCTAGTAGAGGGAAGGCAGGGCATACGCAGGATAACAGTGACATGTGTGGCCCATAGGACATGAACAGTGTCATAGAGAAAGATGACACAGGACAGGGAGCTGGGGAAGCTCTGATGAGGGCTTCAGTTCTGCAGAGAGAAGTCAGCCAAGGCTTCCCTGAGAAGACAACACTTGAACAGATACCTGAAAACAATCTGTTCTTTCTCTATGGTACTGTTAACTTTCACGTACTTTCTTCTCTGCTGCCTCACTTCATCCTGCAAACAGCTCACAGCAGGAACGCTGTCAAAATGTGTTAAAGTCTAAGTACCTGAGGTCTACACAAGTTGAGGCAGCAAGGACTTGCCAAGGTCTCACGCCATTTGGAGACAAAGCCAAGACAAGAAGACCAGATTCTCTTAGGACTTAGCAAACTATCAATGTTCTTATTTAACAAAACAAAATAGTGCTTCTAAATATGCATGGCTGAGGCCGAGGGCTTGAGCAGAGGTGAGGCAGCTGTCTGGGAGCCCACCCCGTCTCTCACGGTTCTGCTGGAGGCCACACATGGGTCCTGCTGACCTGGGCCACCAGGCGCCTTTTCACGGAAGGCAGACCACTGCTTTCTGGACACACGCACGTTGCCCTGGAACCCCATGCCATGGGCTCACTCTGGTGCACCATGGTGAGCCCGAGTGCCTGTGCCTGAGAACCAGTCTGAAGTGGGGTACCTTGGTGCTGTTTCTTCTTGGCGTTCCTTTGGAAGTTCGAACTTTGTTTGATCAAATGGCATGGACGGCCCAAAAACTTTGACAACCAGATTGAAATTTTTTCTCCACAATCATAAGTATTTACCCTGACAAAAGAAAAAAGAAAAGAAAAGGAGGGATGGTGAGCATTCTGTAGTATTTAAGTAACAATCTAAATGGCAGAAAGGAATTATAATATAATTAACATAATATAAAACAATATAATATAATATAATATAATATAATAATTTAAATCATTGAGCCCCCAGCCAGAAGGAAACCTAAAGTGACAGGTGTCTTAGGAAGCTGCAGGGAGATTTCCAGGGTGCAGGAAGACCTGAGATAAGGGGCTGTGCAAAGCTTTAAGAGCAGATAAAATGATTTAGAAGTCCCTCTTGAAAGACCTTGTTTATATAAATTATAGCCACTGAGAAAACAAACCTTGGAATTTTAGACTTTCCAGGCCATTATTGTGCTTTAAGAAGCCCTCATGCCCAGACGCGTGTCTTGGTTCTGTTACTGTGGGCCTGACTGCAATGTTTCCTCTCACAGCCACACCACATGGACTGACAGGTTTGGTTCATTAAACATCAAACAAACAACAAGAACAAAAAACCACTCTACACCTATATATTCCCAAGGGAAGAACATTTATTGATCTGCAGGTTTTAAAACTCTGCAATCTTCTAGAATTTTTAAATAGAATTTCAAATTCAAATTTTTTTAAAAGCTGTACATCACCAGAAGTTATATGAAAAATTTTTAATATCTTGCACTGGAATTGTAAGACAGATGCACATCTATTTTATCCTTAATTTATACTGAAAAAATAAAGTTGCCTTTCTTTTCTAGAAAGGGAAGAGAAGAACGAAACCTCACTTCCTGGCACATTCTCTCCAGTGCTTTGAGAGATTGCACCAAATTCCATTTTCACTGTATTCAGTACTCATGGCTCTGAGCATGAGAAGCCTACCCTCTAGCTATCTGAAAAGCTTTCTTAACCAGAAAAATGGCAACCCTCTCAGGTGTACCCAAATGAAAAGTACAATCAGGAGGAGCCTGGTAAGTAACCACAGGAATTCCTAAATGGCTCTACTTCTCTCAGTGAGAAGATTTACAATGGTGACAGGCAAAAACATTTACCCGAGATCCCTGCCCTGGTTTGGTGCACCGCAGTGAGTGTGTACTGGCACACGTACCAGTGAAAAGGTGCACACCATGCTCAGCTCCCACCCAGCATGGCCCAGTGTCCGTGATGCTCAGGCAGACCCAGCAGGACCTATCCCTTCACACCTTTCCTGAGGGGTAACCCTTCATCACCCCAGTGAGACCTGGGGACCCCCAACATCTGAGCCCAGTTTAGATACAGCTTTAGTGTCTAACATGTCATCTCACAACGTGTATGATGTGAGGCAGAGCAGAAGTAAATGCACTCAGATCCCATACTGTGCAGAATCCCGTCTCCTGGGCACACACACACACCTCCTAAAGAGTTCACTGTGGCAACTAACAAGCAGTTAGTGTTTTAAAGCCCTCCATGTAGAAATCTGTAGTGAACTGTTACAGTGAACTGTTTCAAATTGGTTGGGGTGTTAGATGGGCTGGTTCCCACAGTCAGAAAAGTGGCTGTTCCACATGTTTTGGGGTCCAGATTAGATTTAGATAAAAAGGAATGTAGGTGTTCAATATATTCAATAAATAGTTTTATATATATTCACAATCAGGAAATAAAATAGAAATGCTGTTATTATATTCAACCTCACTTTTTACAGTTCCTAGAATTTAGCAGATGTTCTATTATTAATAACTTAAATTAGGTAATAATCTCTTTATGAAATGTAACTTATGGGTTATTACCTGAAAATCATACAACCTGAGGGACGTGGCACCCCCTCACCCTTGGCCCCCACATCCATCCGTCAGCTGTTTCAGGAGAGTCTTCCTCCGGAATATATACCTGACTCCCAAGCCTCCGTCTCAGCTGGCCTTCCCACTGCCACCCTGACCCCCTCCTGCTACGTACACCCACAAGCCAGTCCTTTCAGTCAGGTCCCTACCCTCACCACTCTATGGCAGCCACCCACCGAGCCCCAGCAGGCCTCCTCCGAACTGCTCCTCTCTCACCCCACCGCCCCCACCGCCCCCACCCCACAGTTCCAGGCTTTGCAGGCGGCACATAGATGGCGTCTTGCTCTCCCGGGCAGGACATTCTAGCAGGCATTCCAGTGGGTGGGACTAAAGATAAATGTTGGGGAAACGGTAAATGCACCGGAGAAGAATGCAGCAGAGAGGAAAGGGCTGATTCTGTGGGACGTCAGGGGGCCCTCTGGGAAAGTAGCTTTTCAGCAGAGATCTGATGGAAGTGAGACAGGTGGCGGTGAGGGAGCGAGCCCCCTTGGAGGTATAAATAAAGGAAGAGCAAGTGCGGAGTCCTGAGAAGGGAGCATGACGGCGGGGTTGGAGAACAGCAAGGAGCCAGTGTGCTGAGAGCAGAGTGTGCAAGCGGGGGTGGAGAGGAGGAAAGGAGCGGCCGCAGATGGGATGCAGGACTGGGCAGAGGACTCTTCCGGCTCCTGCGCTCCCCAGATGGACCTGAGATTTTCACCAGCTGCAGACTCTCACCTGTCCGCACAGACCTTGCTTTGGCAAATCTGAGCCCGTTCACCATTCTCCTCAAGAGGCACTTCTATAGGCTCCATTCCTGATGGACAAAGGTCAGAGACAAACTTGTCATCACGCAAAAAGAACAACTGTGGAAGTCAAAGTCCATTGTTGTAAAATATGCAAGAATCTTAACAACCCTGGAAATTGGTTGCATCAAGTAAGTGACTGTGTCTTGGAAGTCTCTTCATAACACAGAGATTCTGTTCAGCGTGCCTGGTACCACCAACAGCGTGCGCATCCAGCCGCTTTGTCAGGGGACACCCTGCACTGGCCAATCACATCCACAGTCCCTGGAGCACTACGAATTCCTTTGGAAGCTTTCTTCACCCCTGGATGGGTCCCATCCTGAGGTCATTGTTGTCTACGCTGCCTACAATTCTTTAGAAATAGACAGACAGGTGTGAAGACTCACTCTGTAAAGATTACCAGCCTGGAGTGTCAATTTTCAGTAGCCCCTAGGAGTCGGCATCAAAGTGGATTCCTGCACCAATCATCATTATCCCCAACAATCTGTTACTATGTCAGTGGGGTTGGGAAGCTGGTTTTAAATTGTTATATTTCCACATATACATATAAAGGAATATATCATACTTGTACATAATGTACATAACAGATAAAAAAATAATAACATTCACATACCCACTACTCAGCTAAAGTGGGATTCATTCTTTAAACAAAATTAGAGTGAAATATGTGGATAAAACTATAAGAAACTGAGCTGATGCCATTAAGGAGTGGAAGACCTCGGATAAAGGCTGGAACTGCTGAGTCCCTCTGCCACTCAACTCTCCTCCTCCTCCTCTGTGAGTCATAGAAAGTACAGGGGAAAGGCATGAAGCCAAGACACCTGAGCAGAATTTGTGGAGGCCACTTGTTCTGTGGACAAAGGAAGTGGGACTTCCCACCTGTGTCCCCCAGACCTCTCTGCGTGGCTGCCAGTCACACTGCTCGGCAGCATGACTCAAACTGTCCCTCAGGTAGGCTCATGGTAGGCACACCTGCATCCCTGCTTATCTTGGTCCTATTTCACCACACAGAGCACAGCCAACTCCTACACCCTTGCACGCACACTTAAGGTCACACCTGCTACCCATCAAAACAGGCTTCTCCCCACCCCAAAGACAGTGAAGCAAAATCTGTGTAGCAGATACTCTGTGAACTGTGTCCCCTGCTTACCCGCATCTTACACGTGCACAGCCAGCTCCACACTCCTGTCCCTGCGTGGGGAAGGGCAGAGGTGGGACTAACCCGAAATTCTGCAGCAGCTTTGAGAAGGAAGAGCTGTGCTGAGTGATTACAGAGGCTGCCTGTGGAAAGGGTGTGCGTGGAGGAATGATTCCGTGCCAGGCATGCACCCACTGGCGGGGCAGCAAAGTGAGCCTGGAACAGCGGTCACAAGAAAGTAACCACAGCAGAAGGGACAGCAGGCGGACCAGTGCCATGGCACAAACACACCCTTGGGCAGCCAGCAGGAGGCCTCTGCTCAGTCTCTTTCTACCCTTACCCAGAACTCTGCATAAATCACATAAGATCATAAATATGGCCCTCAGACGCCATATAAAGGTCATCACAGACATCTCGCTAAGGCAACAAAATCTGGGGTTCCTACATGTATTGAACTCAAGGCGCCCCCAAGAGGGTTCCAAGGCACCAAGTCCATTCCGTACATACTAAGCCCTCAGAGATACAGCAATGAAAGAGCCTGACCTCTGGTCTCAAGACACCTAAAATCTTTGAGGGCAACAAATCCCACACATAGAACCATTATAACACCCGTTTTACTGTTTATTGTTTAGTTTGTCCTACATACATTGCCAAAGGATGCTGTTACCCCACCCACAGTGCCAGAAGCCCCTACACGTGAGCAGAACATCTGATGCGTGTGGGGGACACCACGCCACCTCACAAAGTGCTGTTGCGTGGGGTAGAAGACATTGGAGCATTTGGGGTTTTCTTTCTCTCTTCCTTTTCTTACATTCCGGGAAAACCTCTACTTAGTTATGATGTCCATTTCTATGCTTTAGAGAATAGAAATGATCCACTCAACTGTTTTGTATGTCATTACCCTGGGCACCTGAACTTGAACAAGAAAAATACAATAAAAGGTGACAAAAATAGTAACAAAATTACCAAATATCAGCAAACCAGATGTATCAACAACTCACAACCAAGTAGTGTTTTCTCTCCCCCAAGAGTGCAAGAATAGTTCAATACTAGACAATCTGCTAATGTAAGACCTCACACTAATAGAAATAGGAGGAAATACGATAACCAACAGGTACAGAAAAAGCATTCAGTAAAAATTGACTATTATTCCAAAGTGCTCATCAGTAAATGAGTGGATCAAAAGACTGCGGTACCTTTACACAATAGAATACTACACAGCAGAAAGAATGAAGGACTCGTACCTTTTCCCAACAGCATGGATGGAACTGGAGAGCACTATGCTAAGTGAAATAATCCAGGCAGTAAAAGACAAATGCCATATGATCTCACCTACAAGTGGAACCTAATCAGCAAAACAAACAAACGAGCAAAATAGAACCAGAAGCATGGAAATGAGGAGCAGACTGGCAGAAACCAGAGGGGAGGGGGAAGGAAATAAGGGAGGGAAAGAAGGGGAAAGGTCTGGTCAAGGAACAGGTGTACATGACCCATGGACATGCACGACAGGGTGGGAACTGACTGTGGGAGTGAGGGGGTAGGCAACAGGAGGAAAATTGGGACAACTGTAATACAACAATTAAAAAAAACTATTATTCATGGTAAAACTTTCAGCTAAATAAGAAAAGGACTACTTAGCCTGGTACATCAAATCCATCAAATACCTACAGTAAACATCATCCTCACTTTTGAGACTTTAGAACCATTCTAGTCAAATCAGTAATAAGGAAGGATATCTTCCATCACTGTTCCAACATTATACAAAAAAACCTAGCAAATGAAGTATGATTTAAAAGAGAGAGAGAGAAATAAAATTAGAAAAGGTATGAAGTTACGATTATTAGATGGTATGCCTATTTTACACAGAACATGCAAGAAAATCTTCAGATCAACTAATAAAACTAACAGGAATTAAAAAAAAATACTGGGTAAAACACCAATATACAAAAATCAAGTGTTTCTATATGGCATTAATAACCAACTAAAACACTTAATAGAAAAAAATAGTATTTGAAATACTCAAACTATTCTATAACCAGAAAATGTACAAAAATTATAGGGGACCAGCTTGTTTCAGTCTGGCAAATGTGACTCAGCTCTGCATGGAAAACCTACAGAAGCGAGGTGGTGGGGAGGAGCCAGACCTTCAAACCAAGTTTTCCCACAGGAATCAGGCCTAGAAAATGCATACAGACTGTTATGGCTTGCTCTTGCTAAAATTCCACCACTCTGGTCTAAAACAACAGATGTGTATTGTCTATCTTCAAGGTAATTTCCAAAGCTTGTGTGAATTCTCCCAAGGACAGAGCTAATTAGCTCGCCGCCATTCCCCTCTGCATGTTATTTTCATTTCCTTGATTGTACCTAAAGTGTAGACAGCAATACTCTGTGTAATAGGTAATAAATCTTTCTCTGATGTAAGCCCCGAGAAAAACAATAAAAGTCTGTCTAGGCGAGGGTCGGCACGCCCTCCTTTGGAGAGAGTGGCTGAGGCACTCATAGGCTCTCTCTCCCCTTGAGAGAGTAGCCGTGCCCTCCCCTTTTTCTCCACAGATTGCTGTCACCTGTGCATTTATTTTCTCTTTCAGCCACAACAAGGCGGAACTCTGTTGGCCGGAGTCCACCACAAAAATGTTCTGGAAACTATTATTAAAATTGAAGTAATTAAAGAAGTTTTAAATGAAGAGAAATACTATTTACATATAAAAGATTTAACATTATACAACATTAATTCTCCTGAAATGAATATCTGGCATTACAATCAAAGTATAACTACAAATATATAATTTTAAAATACATGATTTTGCAATCAAAATCCCAACAGGACACACCAGTGAAAATATAGAGATTGTCAGAATGGATAAAGGGCATGAGCCAGCTATACACTGGGTACAACCACACACTTCAAATTTAATGGTACAGGCAGATTAAAAATAAAATGGAGCCATCAAGAAGAGGAAAAGACAACCTACAGAATAAGAGAAAATATTTGAAAATCTTAGGTCTGAAAAGGGACTTGGAATGTATAAAGACCTCTTACAATTCAATAATTCAAAAGTAAATAAGCAAAGCATTTGTGCAGATATTTTCCTGAGGACTATGTACAAGTGGCCAATGAACACATGAAAACATGGCCAACATCCTTATCATCAGGGAGATGCACATCGAAGTGACCTGAGGGGCCACTGCACATCTACCAGGGTGGCTGCTCAAAACCAGCAACAGAAAATAACAAGTGTTGGGGAAAACACGGAAAAATTAGAACCTTTATGCGCTGCTAGTGGGAATGTAAAATGGTGATGCAGCCACTTTGGAAATGCTGAAAATAGTTACCATGTGGCCCATCAGTTTCATGCCTAGGTATAGACCCCAAGATAATTTGTACACAGACATCCATAACAGTATTATTCTTAATAGCCAAGAGTGGAAACTATTTAAAATATCCACAAACTGATGAGTAGATTAAAATACGGCATACCCATACCATGGAATATCATTCAACAATACAAATGACCCTCAAAAACACATTGCTGAACGAAAGAATCCAGTTACACACTATATGATTCCATTTATGTGAAACATCCAGAATAGGCAGGTCCATAGAAACAGAAAGTTTCTATGCTAGTGGTTGCCAAGGGCTGGGCATGAGGCTGGAAGTGGGGAGTGACTATTAATGGGATGGGGCTTCCCTTTTAGGGTGACAAAACGCTCTAAGACTCATTGTGGTGATGGTTGAACAACCTTGTGAATACACAAAAAAACCCATTGAACTGTATACTCTAAATGGAAACATTTTATGGTATGTTCAATAAATATCAATGATACTAAAAGAAACACAGGAAAGGGTAGAAAATAATACACCTTGCAAATACTGACAATAAAAAGAGAGCTGAATGGCTATATTAGTATTAAACAAAGAATTTCATACTTCTCAAAAAATAATTTCCATGTATAAAAAGGGACATTACTTAAAGAAAGAGCAATTCACCAAAAAGACATACTATTACTACTACTAATAATAATAATTGAAGCAAAAACTAACAGCACTAAAAGAGAAATTTAGACAAATCCACAATTACAGCTGAGAACTTCAACACTCTTCTCTCAGTAATAAACAAAACTAGTAGTCAGAAAAAATCAGCAAGTATATAGGAAAACAGCAAAATGGTCATTCTAGAAAATGGTTTGGCAGTTTCTTTTAAAGGTAAACATACACTTACCATAGGAGTCAGCAATCCACTCCTAAGTAATTATTCTAGAGAAATGAAAACTTCTATTTACCCAAAAACTTGCACATGAATGCTTATAGCAGCTCTATTCATAATTACTCAAAACTGGAAACAATCCAAATGTCCATCAACAGATGAGTGGGTAAACACACTCTAATATACCCATACAGTAGAACACTACTCAGCCATGAACAATGAACTACTGATACATGCAGTAACTTAGACAGACCACAAAGTCATCGTGCTGAGTGAAAGAAGCCAATCTCAAACATCATATACTGCATGATTTTATTTATATAATATTCTCAACAATAATAAAGACAGAGAACAGATATCTGACTTCCAGGTGTTAAGGGTGAAGAGAAGAGAGACCACTAATGGATGGCAGGACAGAATTTTCTGGGGCCATGGAACAGTTCTTTATCTTGATTGCGGGAGTGGCTACACAAGTCTATGCATGCATTAAAATTCAAGCAGGAAAACAAAAGGCCAAGGAAGAGCCAAGACACTTTGGAAGGATGAAGTACAAGACCGTGCCCTACCAGATGTCAAGTCTCCTTTTATAGCCCTAGTAATAACACTGACCTAGTGGTTCAAGGAAAAATAAGCCACTGGAACAGAATAGAATACCTACAGCCAAGAAACACAATTGTGAATCTATGGAAATGTGATACATACAAAAGTTCAGCTATGAGTTAGGAGAGACATTGGAAGAGTCTACAAAGGGTAGGTGAGCTGTGGAAGGAGAAAAAATAAGACCAGGGAGAACTACACAGGGAATTTCTGCTATATCTGTAATGTTTTAAAAAGATTTTATTTATTTATTTTTAGAGAGAGGAGAAGGGAAGAAGAAAGAGGGAGAGAAACGTCAATGTGTGGTCACCTCCCGCGTGCCCCCTAATGGGGACCTGGACTGCACCCCAGGCATGTGCCCCAACTGGGTATCAAACCGGCAATCCTTTGGCCAATCCACTGAGCTACGCCAGCCAGGGCTGTAATGTTTTTTTATTTCTTAAAAGAAAGAAGAAAGCCCTGGCTGGCGTAGCTCAGTGGATTGAGCGTAGGCTGCGAACCAAAGCATTACAGGTTCGACTCCCAGTCAGGGCACATTCCTGGGTTGCAGGCCATGGCCCCCAGCAACCACACATTGATGTTTCTCTCCCTCTTTCTCCATCCCTTCCCTCTCTAAAAATAAATAAATAAAATCTTTAAAAAAAAAGAAAGAAAGAAGATGAAGAGGAGAAGGAGAAAGTTGGATAGGAAGAGAGGGGAAGGAGGAATCTGAAGCAAATGTGGCCAAATATAAAGTTGTGTTAAAACTGGATGCTCTTCTATGTCCCTAGGACAGGAAATTACTGGAAAGCGAGAACAGAACAAATTGTTCCCTACAGCCACAGGCAGGAGATAACATTGGAACAAACTGCAGTCTCCCATTACAACACCCCAACAGCCCAGGGGCCACACAATAGCACCCCCCACCCTTTCTTAATCATTATAATCCAATAAAAGTTCAAAGCCCTCACCCTTCAACACTGGTGTATCTCTCCACACCATGCCCCTCTCCTTCTTGGAGAGTGAATAAAAACTGCATTCTCTACACACAAAAAAAATGGATGCTCTAATTGTATATCATGTTCTTCTCTATATCTGTGCTGTCCAACACTATAGCCACTAATAATTTAAATTAATCAAAATTAAATAAAATTCAAAATTCAGTTCTGGAGTGCCACTAGCCACATTTCAAGTGCTCAGTAGCCCCAAGTGACTGGTGGCTACCAAACTGGGCAGACAGATAATGAGCATTTCCACCATCACAGAAAGTTCCATTGGACAAGGTTGGTCTATACCCTCACATATGTTAGATTGTTTACAATAAAAGTCAGCATGGCAGAATTAAAGCTTGCAGTACATACAGGGGTGAACAAAAGTATGTTTGGACTCAACCGCGTCAGGAGGCAGTGGGACTAACCCAAGCAGGTCACTAAAATTCAGGTTTGCTTACTGATGTTCAAAGACTACGAGGAATGTGTAAACAACAAAAGCCAGAAATTTAAGCACTTACGAGATTATACCTAAATATACTGTGCCACTGTGACATTATTTTGAATTAATAAAGGTATTGTAATAATTATAACCTGTCCCCAGATGGGTAGCTCAGCTGGCTGGAGTGTTATCTGGATACACCAAGGTTGCGGGTTTGATCCCCAGTCAGCACACACAGGAACCGGTTCAGTCCCCATCAGGGCACATACAATGAATATGTGGAACAACAAAGTCACATTTACTCTCTCCCATCTTCTCTCTCTTTCTAAAATCGATAAAATTTTAAAAAATCATAACCTGCACGTCTTTCCATATGAACAACTGTAAACCTACTTTTGCTCACCCCTGTATTATGATGACTGAAGGAAATAAAAGGAATGTAAGTGGAAAGCACATCATATAATCTCAAAAGTTATGCCTCTCTACTTTCTGATTGAATCATTAGATCTTTACCTTTCCCCCCAAAATTCCCATAACAAAACAGAACAAGTTTTTTGTTGTCTCTTCTAGATATCATTTTACTTTTGGAATATTTTAATATTTGGTAGAGGAAAAGCATTATTATTTTCATGTGAATATAAAAGCCGCTCTTCACAGGTGTGTTGTGAAAATGAACCCAGTTTTCATACCTTTGGCTTTAATGACCATGATCCTTTGCTGCAGGTCAATGAAGGGCTGGATCAGGCAGAGCCGGGGCTCCTGCTTCTGACTCAGGCAAATGCCATTGTGATTTGCAACCATCCAGCTCCGGTCGTACAGCAGCCCTTGATTTCCTACGGGCCACTTGGTCACCTAAACAAAAAGGTAAGCACATTTTAGATCAGCGTGCCTCAAAAATGACCTTCACATTATTACACAGTGGCTGCACAAATAGACTGACTTCAGGAATACAGCACATACTCCTGAAGGAAAAAAGGGAGGAAGAGAAGAAAGTAAAGCAAAGAGGACACTGCAAAGGAGACAGTGCTGGACCTAGATACCTTTCATTCACCCTACAGATCCACTTTCCACTTCAACCTGTTTTTTAAGTAGAGAATGCATGTGTGTGGTACAACATTCAGAAGGAGCAAGGGGGAGCCCTGACTGGTGTAACTCAGTTGGTTGGATGTCATCCCACAAAGCAAAAGGTCACCAGTTCAATTCCTGGGCACATGCCTGGGTTGTGAGTTCAGTCCCTGGTCAGGGTGCATACAAGAAGCAACCAATAGATGTTTCTCTCTCACATTGATGCTTGTCTCCCTCTTTCTCTCCCTCCCTTCCCCTATCTGTAAAAATAAATAAATAAGATAAGGAAGGAAGGAAGGAAGGAAGGAAGGAAGGGAGGGAGGGAGAAAGGAAGGGAGGGAGGAAGGGAGGAGAGAGAGAGAGAGAGAGAGAGAGAGAGAGAGAGAGAGAGAGAGAGAGAGAGAGAGAGAGAGAGAGAGAGAGAACACATGAAAAGTTAAGTCTCCGCCCACCCAGCTTCCCAGGTCGCCTCCCCACGGTCTCCGTCACTCCTGCTTCCTGTATTCCTGCCACAGCAGTGGATGCCTGGGCAGGCAGATCCCGACTAGATACATATTTCTTGCACAACTTGTAGCTAAACCAGAATGGTCACTGATTTAATCCATGTAAGTGTGAAAGTGTGGGGGCATCCTTCATATTTCTACAAAATTAAAATATAAATTATACCCGTGCCCAGATCCTGCATTCTAATACCATTCTTCAATAAAAAGAACCAGAGTTCAAGCCAGAATAAAGTAGGAATAATAAAAATATATGCAACATTTTAAAATTGGAAAAAAAATGAATAAGTAAAAATAATTAAGACTGCTGAGAAAAACAGGTGATTCTAGGGGCGTGTCAGGGAATATATAAGATGAGTCAGGAGCACCTTGTAGGGCTGGAAAAGTAAGGTAGTGCTAAAAAAAAAAATGTCAAAGGGATAGAAGAGTCAACCCAAATCGCGCCCAATAATCAAAATGGAACAACCTAAAAAATAATAATAACAATGCAGTGTTGAATTATAACCCAAAGCATAAATATCCATGAGTCCACACTGATAAATAAATAATTGACTAAATAAATAAATGAAGGAGAAAAGTCTCATACAAAGACTCATATAGAAGAATCCCAAAATAATCGAGTAGATACTTCCCCCTCAAGAAGGTGGAGCGTAACTCCCTACCCCTTAAGGACGGGCTACACTTAGTGACTTGGTTCCACAGACTACAGTATGGAAGTGGGCGTAGGGGAAACTTTACAGCGAAGAAACCTGGCAAACACTGTCTCTACCGTGTGATCCAGGTTGGCATCAATAGTGGCAAGTCACATTGATAATGTGCACCCTGATTTGATATGATGAGAATAGCAATTTATCTCTGCGGTCCTTCCCCCAAAAAAACCAAAACCCCAGTCTAATCATGAGAAACATACCAGACAAACCCAAAGGAGGAACATTCCAAAAAGGCCTGATCAGTCCTCCTTGAAACTACCAAGTACTGTGGATCTTTAAGGGGCCACCCCTGTACCACAGAGGGGTGCCTGCTGCCTCGAGTGGGATGAGGGCCATGATACCCACAATTCTCCTTTCCTGGCCTGAGGGACATGGCTAAGACAAGTATTCACAGCTCCCTCTCTGATGTCTGTGAGTGGGCCAAAATCACGGGCCTCAGACCAAGATTCAGGCCCAGTCCAGGCCAACTCAGGCTGGCACCCACGTCTCAGCTCCTCTTCATCGATAGCACCCCGGTCCAGCTGTCAGATGAAGCCAGAGACAATGGCCTCTTCATTCCTCCTCCTACTCAGCAGCATTTAGACAAGTAACCCTCTCCCTGACTTCCTGACACCCTGACTCCTCTCCCTCCCAGGGCTGCACCTCCCTGCTCCTCTGTCTCTTCTGCCTGCTGCTCCTCTCCCCCACCTGCAAATGTTAGGACGCCTCAGGGCTCAGTCGAGGCCCTTTCTGCTCTGCCTTCTCGTTTGTGTCAGATCATCCATTCCCCAGACCAGCCGCCCCAAATGCTGATGACTGCCCCGTTTCTAGCTCCAGCGCAGCCCTCCCTTCTGAGCATCAGACTCACACATCCACAGGCATCCTGGACGTTCCCTGCGCAGCACCGACTCCAGATTACCCCCAGGGGTACTCTGCCCTGCCCCAGCCTTCCCCACTTCATCAGCAACATCACTGTGGACCCAGCAGCCCCAGTGCTCCTACACCCCTTCTTCACCCTCACACCCCACATCCAACCCATCGACTCGGCCCTCAAGACATTTCTTAATGTTTTTTATTTCCTTTCACCTCTGCTGCCACCAAGTCATTCCAGGGATCAGCAAACTATGGCCCACAGACCACATTCAACCCGCTGCCTGTTTTTATAAAGCTTTGTGAACCACAGACGTTCTCACTCATTAATGCATAGTCTACGACTGCTCTCACGCTACAACAGCAGAGCTCAGTAGTTACAGTAGAGACTGCACGGCCTGCAAAGTCTAGAATGGTCTCTGTGCCCCTTGCCCCTGTATAGTATCGGCTTTAATATGACCCACTATCATCTCTTGCCTGAGCTACCGGTAAGATCTTTCTAAAACAAAAATGAAATCAAGTAACTCCCTTGCTAAAACCCCTTCAATAGCTTCCTATTCCACTCAGAATAAAATTTCCAAATTATACAGGCCCATGTAATCTAATCTCTGTCTACCACATATCACAATGTCCACCCTCCTCATCACTCCCCACTCTTTGGCCACATGTCTTTCTTTCAGTTCCTCCAACAGACCACGTTCTTTCTCCCCTCAGGCCTCCTCACATGCTGTTCCCTCTGCCTGAAGCACCCTTCCCCCTCTCTGTACACCTCACTCCCAGGTCTCAAATTGAAATGTCCCCACCTTGAGAAGCCTTTCCTGCCTCCTCCAAATACAATGCAAGTACCCCCCAGCAATGGACTAAATGTTCGTGTCCCTAAAATTCATTTGTTAAAATCCTAACCCCCAATGTGAAATGATTAGAAGGAGATTAGGTCCTGAGGGTGCAGCCCTCGTGAATAGGATTAGTGCTCTTATATAAGAGACTCGGAGAGATCCCTTACACCTTCCACCACGTGAGGTCACACCAAGAGACAGGCATCTGTGAACCAGGCAGTGAGCTCTCCCCGGGAACCATATCTGCCAGTGCCTCAACGTAAGATTTGCAGCCTCCGGACTGTGAGAAATAATTTCTGTTGTCTATTAGTCGTCCAGTTGACAGGACTTTGCTACAGCAGCCTAAATGGACTAAGACACCACCCATCGGGGTTGTCTCTGGCATAGCCCATCTTTGCCCCCTTGGCCTTTACCTGCAGTGTGGTTCCATTCCTTTGGGGGGTGTTCGGTCTTACGCCCGTTTCCCTTCCGGGACGTCACCCTCCCTGAGGAAGGAGCCATTTCCATTTTGCTCATCATCATACACCAGGCTCTGGCCCACAGCCTGGCAAGTAGCAGGTGTTCAGTACGTAGTTTTTAAGTGAGCGGATGGATGGAATAACTTCAGTAATCAATGTATGAAACCCTGCTGAGACTCAGTGTCCTCATCCGTAAAACAGAACACTAGTTCCTGCCCATGCTACCCGTGCAGTGTAAGCTGTTCTATGGAACATGACCCAGCTGTGGAAATAGTCCTGATACACAAGAAAACATGGATTCTTCGCCTGCCTGTCTTTGGAAGTGGAGGTGAACTTGCTTGTTTATGGCCTCAGACTGGAGGACAGGCTTCTGTGGAACCACCCTGAAATGCAGGTTACAAACAGCCCTGACCGTGGTATGTCTGACCAAGAGCCTGAGAGCTTGCCATCCAAGAGGCTCAGGAGTCTGGGACCTTTGCCTGGGACACACATAGATTATAAAGACAGACTCACTTTGACCACAGCAGGGTGATGCCAAGAACGGCACTCCCGTCTCCCAGCTCGGGCAACCTCCAGGGCAGTACGTTTTAAAACATAACATAGTTCGCCCTGACTGGTGTGCTCAGTGGGTTAGATGTTGTCCCACAAACTGAAAGGTTGTGGGTTCAATTCCCAGTCAGAGCACATGCCCGGGTTGTGGGCCAGGTCCCCAGATGGGAGCATGCAAGAGGCAACTGATTGATGTTGCTCACACATTGATGTTCTTCTCCTTTGTCTCCCTCTCTTCCTCTCTCTCTAATGATAATAAAATCTTCTTTAAAAAAATTAGAACAGCCCTGGCTGGTGTGGCTCAATGGATTGAGTGCCAGCCTGAGAACCAGAGTCATCAGTTTGATTCCCAGTCAGGGCACATGCCTGGGTTGTGGGCCAGGTCCCTAATAGGGGGCGTAGGACAGGGAACCACACATTGATGTTTCTCTTTCACCCTCCTCTCTAAAAATAAATAAGTTAAAGCTTTTTAAATGCTTTAAAACATAACATAGTTCATTTCCACATGGAGGGCTGAGCAGAACAAATCACATAAGAGCATGGACCCAAGGAGTCAGCAGACCTGGATTCAAATCCCTACTCTGTCATTTGTTAGCAGGTGATCTACATAAAGTGCTTAATCTCAGTAGCCCTCAGGCTCCGTATTTATAAAATGGGGATGATATCACCATGTACCTCATATTATTGTTTCAAGAATCAAATAAAACAAAGCATATAAAATGCTTCAGTAGACAGCCAGCCCATGCATTCAGCGAAAGTGATATCCATGATTACGAACAGTAACCAGATGTTTGCCACGCAGGGACAGGGTTCTCTCAAGGGTCCCCACAAGCAGAGCCCTGTTCCTAAGTCAGCCCAAATCCGAAAAGGCAGCATATGAATGGCTCTAGAGTTGTCAAAATACTCTGAACTTGAGTGGGATTTCCGGCATTTTTTTCTTTTACTTTCTGTACTTTACTTTTTTCTTCAATTTGCCAAAAAAAAAAAAAAAAAAAGCACTTTCTGTTCTGCTGTTAAACCTCTTATCTCACCCTGACCATGTGGCTCAGTTGGTTTTGGTCCCATGACCCAAAATGTGGGGGTTCAATTGCCAGTCAGGGTATGTGCCTGTGTTGTTGAGGGTTTGATCCTTGGTTGGGGTGCATATGAGAGGCAACCAATTGATGTTTCTCTCTCACAATGATGTTTCTCTCCCCCTTTCTCTCTCCCTCGTTTCCCCTCCCTCTAAAGTCAACAACATGTCCTCATGAGAGAAGAAAAAAGCCCTACCTCAAATGCCGCACAGGATTTGATTGGGTAGAGGTAAAGGTTGGTGACGACATGTGGCCCAAGGTCTCCATCCAGGACTCCTGCAGCTCTCTCTGAAGGGGTCTCCCAGGTCCTGGTGGTCTCCGGCAGAGGTGTATGCAAACCCACAGCCTCCACAGCAGTGGGCAAGTCATCCTGCAGCCTGGAGTCTGTGGGCGTGTCTTCCTGAGGTGGGGGAAGGCATCTGCCCACAGTGGCTGGCACGGTGCTCAGAGGCTCACTCTCTGCTAGGGGGGCTCCGGCCTCCCCAGGGGCAGGCTGAGGGACGGGCTGGCTACTTAGTGGGCGCAGTCGGGCTGCGATGATGAACTTGAGAAAGGCCTGGGCATCCTCAAGAGTAGACATGTATCCAAATGAAACCCTCACTGACCCTGTAGGCTGCCCGTCTACGAGGTCCACATCGTCCCCGCACACATGACCCGCCTGGAAGAAAAGGCAAATGGGTCAGTCGCTCCTCACAGGTAAATTGGAAACAGTTTTGTAAAACAAATTTTGTTCATTTTATAAAACCGAATTGCCCCAGAAAGCAGAATTGCAGCTCTAACATGCTAGGAGCCTGAGACAGTTTCACAAGAGCAGGGGCTCAATTTCTAGACCGTGCTTTGCTCAAGTGTAAAATGGGGTCAACACCATCCCAAGGGGTCACTAAAAGCTTAACAGAAATACTTCATGGAGAGCATTTGCCCAGAGCTGCACACAGAGAGAGGAATTGAAAGACAGACCAAAGCTTCAGAGGCACTGAGGGATCAACCTCATGGTCTGCGCAGGACTGAGGTGGGAGATGCGCCCGCTGACCACTCCCTTTAGCCTCATCAGAACCAAAGTGAGACCTGTATCCCTGAGAGCTGCCCTTTGAACACAGGGCAAGACAGAAATGCTGTCCCTGCGAACCGCCATCCTGAGGCCACTGCGAAAGCCAAAGGAAATTTGAGTGTCCCTGCTGGGCGGTGGGGAACAAAAGGCAGGAGGGTCCAAGCTCAGCTACCCGGTGTTGGTCACCGCCCGGGACGCCTTCCTCCCCCAGCACTAAATCCAGGTCAGTCGTGTGAAGAGATGGGGCCACAGCGTTCCACAGGGTCACAAAAACGGGAACTTCATCAGTTGTTTGTGTTCTGATCTCTGCTCTCTCTCTCTTTTTAAATAAAGCCCAGTACATGGTTGGTTGAGTTCTAGTCTATACAACATTTAGTGGCAGCCAAAAGAAATGCACGTTAGAAACCATTTCAAAATAAATAAAGGCTCTTTGCCACTCAAATTGCTTTTATGATATGTTTCAAAACAGGCTGTACATTAAAGGGAAACACCTCAGCCCAGGAGAGGCAGGGAAGGAAGGGACTCAGAGAGAGGCAGAACACCCCCCAGGCGGGCTCCTCTCCTCCCCCAGCCTGGAGAGGAGTTAACTCCAGCATGGAGACTTTACCCTTATAGGACTGAACTAGTTAAGGGTGTTCTGCATGTATGAGCACATTCCCATGCGTGTTTGCCCCATGTTAAAGCCTCTCTTCAGCCTTTAAATTTCTGCCTTCAACGTAAAAATTGACTTTCATGGAGATACTCTCTTGAATTTTCTCTATTTTTGTTAACCCCTTTCCCTTTGCATATCCACAGGGTGGGCTAAGAAAAAGGAACCAGCCCCCACCCCAGACAAGTGGCCAGCCTCCAGTGTTGTTGCAGGCACCCCACTGGGTGTTGCTGACAAGCGTTTGGGCCACAGGGCCTGATACCAACCTGGAGATGCTTCTTGACCATCTCGTCACTTATCCCCAGGTGCCTCTGGCAGGCCCCAGTGTTACAGAAGCAGCCCGTTCGCACCTGGATGTTGTAAAGACTGGCCATTTTCTCCACCTGCGGGTTTAACATGACATGAAACCGCTGTTAGAAACATCAAATTTTACTGATTACCTGGGAGAGAGTATCAGATCAATATTTGGACCTTTCTTACCTAACAATAAAATGAAAGTATGAGCCTGCAATTTGGCTCCAAAGTACCATACTCCGTCACAAGTTTACTAAACATGTTTTATAGGATGTCGTTGATAATTAAAGTGTATCCCGTTGGGCTGTAGATGTAGTGCAAGTTAGGGCCCACACCCTGCAAGTGAGATTAATAAGTGCAAAACCAGAGTGTGGCTGGGGTGGGGGGCAGGGCAGCCACGTGGCGTGTTCTACAGCAGGTGGATCACAGAGCAGGCCCCCGCTGAGCCACCTCTGTAGGGTAAATGGAGTCAGTCCGGCTTCCTCACCCAGGTGTCTGGGGAACTAAGATAAGCAATGTTCTCATAGTCCGGAGCGGGCTCGCATGCCCAGAATCTTGCTGTGTTATACAATGTATCCTGACACCGTGCCAGCTTTGTGTGCATGTAGTTCCCACTGAATGCCACACAGGGACATGCAGTGTGACATACAGGCTGACACACAATGACACACGGGGACATGTGGCTTGCGGCATGCGTGGCTTGCCCGCCTGTGAATAAAGGCCTGTCAGGCATCCCCGAGGCTCCACGCACTTTCTTCCATCTCCCCCAATCCCGTGAACCTGTCCCACGAACCAGTCCCTTGAACGGCCCTGACACAACCACTCAGAGCAGCCCCGCGTGGGCTCACAGCCTGGACTACAAGCACTACGTGTGGACACTGCGCATTACCAATTTGCTTGTCATAATGTCACTAACTCTGGGGCTGAATCTCAGAACTGCTGTTCAGTCCAGAAGTTCTAAGGCTCTTTCTGGCCCCCTGGAAGCTCTGGGAGGTGATTCCTGTTCACTCAAGGTGCAAAGGCAGGGTTAACCTGGGGGATATGTGTCCCAGCTCGTCTGGCTGTGGGTCCAGAGCTCCATTCCCCCGAGGGCCTGGAGGCCATGAGGGTCCTCAGCCCCGGTGGCTCAGGTTAAACTCAGGGGAGTCACCTCACTGCATTCAGAGAAACAAAGGCACCCAGCTGGGTAGGGCTTTGAAACTTTTCTCCCTGCAAAGTCACATCTAGGTGGCCAGAAACAGCCCAGAAGATACAACACCCTCTGCAGACCACAGGTCCAGGTCCCCACAAGGTCAGCCTGGGCCCTGGCTGGGCCGTGCATGGGAATGGTGTCTCCCCAGTCAAGACCACGGCTGTCTGCCCTGGACTGTCAGAATGAGAAGCTATTCTCTGGGCTGAACTGAGAGGCCCCTGCAGAACAGCTCTGCTCCTGTATCCTTGGCAAACCACTCAGTGATAAGGAGATCTGATAATGAAATCTCAGGAGTCCCGGGCTCTCTGAGATGAGACCTGGCAGCTCCACTGGGTCTGGCCAACTCCTTGTCCAAAGTCAGGAGGTCTCCGTTCAGAGGGCAGCACCCGGGGAAGTCTCTCACTCCCCCGCCCTAACTCCTGCCAAGCTCCAAGCTGAATTAGAAGACTCCTAAGACACCCTTCTCCCCACCCACTCCTAGTTATCAGTGCTGTGAAACAAGCCACCCACATTTGGTGGAATAAAACAACAACCATTTTTTTGTGCTCCCCCCACCCCCCGCCCCGTTATGGTGAGTCAGTGATTCAGAAAGGGCACTGAGGAGACGACTTGACTCTGACCCAGGAATTCTCAGTTTTGGCTGGGAGGACTCAGAGGCTGGGCGTGGTGTGGCGTCTGGGGTTGGAATCATCCGGAGACTGGCTTACTCATGTGTGCGTCTGGCCTACCCTGCCAGGCCGGCCCAAAACAGTCCTGCCACCATAGTGCCTGCACTTGGCCTCTCATCGTGGCTTGGCCTCCGACACCATGACAGCCTTGGGGTAGAACATCCTACATGGTAACTCAGGGCTCCAAAAGTGAGTGACCCAGGCAACAATGCCAACTAGCCTCCAAAGCCACGCAGTGTCACCTGTGGTATTTTATTGGTCACAAGGAAGTCACAAACCCACCAAGATTCAAGGGGAAGAGACAGGGCCCCACCTAGAAGAGAATGTGGGTAGAAGGTGCTGTTTTGGTCACCCTTTCCTTCATCCTAATTTTCCATCGTGACTGAGCTTCCCCTCACTCCGAATCCTGCTGAATCCCACACAGGCCTGGCCTGTGCCCAGCCAGGTGAAGAAGTTGGTTGCTGTGGCTCGAAGAACCCTGTGTCCAGGGAAGGTGAGGACCCAGCCCGACCACAGGGCAGCACCAGAGACTTCTCTCGCCCAGGAGCGTTTGTGCTCCGTGTTTATTGAGCACTTGCTTCGTCCCAGGCCCTGCGCTAAGGGGTTGTAATGTTGTATTTCATTTAGTCCTCATAACAACACAATCAGCAAGATGCATTGTTATTCTTACTTCATATAGACTTGGAAGTTTAAATTAACTTGCTCAAGCTCACAGAGGCAGCCAGAATCAGAATGCATACTCTTAACCACTGGGTAGAGTGATTTAGGACAAAGAAAGAGACAAAGAAATTAGGAGGCCTGAGTATCAAAAGCAAGAACCCAAAGGCTTCTCATAGAAGGCTAAATTCTTTTACATATCGCCTGAAAGAGACAGCCAGACCCAGCCAGGACACCATCTGGTCCCCACTCTGTGAAGCTCCCTTAGCCCAGGAGAACACAGCTGGACTTGCCCGAACTAGCACGTCTGGCCAAGCCTTGGCCCTGGGATCCACACATGTGACCAGCTTCCTCTACAAATGCACAAAGGGAGACATGTGTCCTGTGGAAATAACTTTCCTGGGGAAGTGAGTGAGGCACCTAGAGAGGCAGCTCTTTCTCCCTGGTGGTTCCGCTTATTTGCAGCTTCTCTGAGCAAAGGAGAAATTCTTTCCCCGCTCTGCCTGCCACAGCACACTGCATAGTCTATCTTCCTCTATCCCTCAGGAAGCACAAATTTATTTTAGGTTTAAGAATAAAATTTATGTTGCTCTGGCTAGTGTGGCTTGGTGGATTGAGTGCCGGCCTGCAAACCAAAAGGTCGCTGGTTCAGTTCCCAGTCAGAGCACATGCCTGGGTTGTGAGCTAGGTCCCCAGTAGGGGGCTCTTGAGAGGCAATCATACACTGTGTTTCTCTCCCTCTCTTTCTCCCTCCCTTCCTTTCTGGTTAAAAAGAAATAAATAAAAATATTTAAAAGAAAAACAAAAAAGAATAAAACTTATTTTACCACTGACCTAAAATAATGTATTTAAGAAGGCAAACCTTTTGTCTCGATGCATTTTCCACACACACACATCCCCCACCAAAAACGCAAATGCGTGCTTCTGGGTGTGCTGGGGCTGCTTCTGCGGGCGCACGACTAAGAGGCTCCAGGGGTCTGCAGTCAACCCGCCCAGCACCAGTGTCAGTGAAAACGGACATTGCCCCCAGAAGAATATTTCTCAAGACTATTCCTGAGAAAGCTTAGGACTGTTCAGAAGAGAGGGAAATGATTCCTTGAGAAATGGATTCTGTTTGAGAAATTCAGAGTTTAACAAAGGTGTTAACCATCTTCCAAACTTATTTGACGATCAGATCTGCTCCTCTCAGAGCAGCTGGAGGAACGCAGGCTCTGGGAGGGACCGTGGGGATCCCGCACCCAGTCTGTGCCACTCCATCAGACGACTACCTACCGCCATGTCTGAGTGCTCGGTGTCACTGTGGACTTTTTAAAGGACTGGACAGCGACCAGCTTACTCACCTGTGGCAAGAATGCAAGCAGTTACCAACCCACAAACCCCTATCAGCACTATTTTCCTGAGGAAATAAATACAAAAAAATATATTTACAGAAACTATCTTATAACCAACCTACCAAATCCTTTGAACTCATAATATGCATGAACTGTGGCAGAAATAGAGCTTTTGTAGTACTAAGAACATCACTTCTCCTTGCCATTTTTAAAAAAAGTTCTGCTTTCCAAGCAACATGCAAATGGTGGAAATAGGCCCACAATTTTGGGTGACGCTGTGATACAGCCTCATGTGTCACCGGGCCTACCAAGCTGTCTGTACACAAAATGACCTCAGACATGGTGTTCAGTCTACACGGCTTTTCTGTCTACACAGCTTCAGGGTGTTTTTCCCTTGCTGGCAGACCTCAGTTGTCCCTCTCCACCACTATCAGAGACTCGGCCTCTCCCCACTTGAAACTGACTGTTTCTGCCTGAATAAAGAACTGGAGAACTGAGAAGTTGTGCTTGTTCGAACTGTGTATAGATGACAGTCAAGAGCCTCTTAGGAAGGGCCAGTGGCCTCTGCCACTACACGTGGCCTTTGCCACAGCTACCGCAAAGGTCCAGAGGCCCTGACCACACACTTCAGGGTTGGAAAGGCTGCAGAGTTCCAGACAAGAGCAATTCAGTTGTGAACAGGTGAGCACGATGCAAAGGAAACCCACCTGGGAGTAGCCAATGATGATCCCCTTGTCGTCGAGCACATTAAAATTGATGATGGGACCTTGGGCCTCTGGGCTGCTGAACTCAGAGTCACTGTAGATCCGCACCACGGGGGCTCCGTTGGGGTACCGGAGAGACGACAGGGCCGTGTAGGTGTATTGGGCCAGGGTAAAGGTGTGCTGCTTTATATTCTCCATCCCACCTCAAAACCAATTGTGAAATGTGGTTACTAAGGACATCGTTGCTACTCGTCGTAAGAAAAGAGATCTGAGTTCCAAGCATTAACTTTGCATAGAATCATTAACTTTACATAGAATTATTAACTTTATATATAACTTTGTATAGGAGCATTGATTTTATATAAAATTTACTGACTCATTTTTAAGTAAACAAAATCATTATAACTGGCAAACTTGGACCTGATAGTAATGATTTTAAGTACTTGTAAATATTTGGGACTGCCCCACCCTAGTTGGTGGGGCTCAGTGGATTGAGTGCCGGGCCTGAGAACTGAAAGGTCACAGGTTCAATTCCCAGTCAGAGCACATTCCTGGGTTGCGGGCCAGGCCCCCTGTTGGGGCATGTGAAAATCTGGTGTTTCTCTCCCTTTCTTTCTCCCTCTCCACCTTTCTCCAAAAATAAGTAAATAAAATCTTTAAAAATATATATTTGATACTGCCCCTATGATAATGTTTAGGTCTCTGGTACTAAATAAGAGTTTACCATTGCTAAATTGTTCCACAGGAATTCATGTCATTCTCTTTTTTTAAATATATAATGTTACTTAGGTATTCAGATAATTTAGACCGTTTAGCAACAGATAGTAAAAATGTACAATTTTGTTTTAAATGTATCATTCTTTTGCTGTTTATTTTTGTTAATGTTTAAATCATTTTAGTATAACATGGAGCAACTAAGGATATATGCTACATGATTAATCATTTAAAACTTTGTGCTAAGTGAAATAAGAGGGGGGAAAAGGACCAAGACTGTATTATTCCCCTTACGCAGGGAGCCTGGGGCAGACGCATGCAAGGAGACAGGAAGGAGAACAGAGGTCCCGGGGCAGAAGGAGGGGAGTGGGGGGCCGTTGTTCAATGGGCAGAGTTTCAGCGAGGAGACGAGGAAGCCCTGGCGATGGAGGGGGGGGCAGCCGCATAGCGACGGGAGTGCGCTCAGTGCCACCAAACTGTGCACTTCAAAGTGGCTAAACCGGTGATCATATATGTATCTATCTCACCAGTTAACAAAAGAACAATTAAGTTGGAAAAACCAGGGTCTGCCTTATCAGAAAACCGACATTGTCGATCTGCTTTCAAGTGTGCCCTGATCTTATCAGACCCTGCCACTTGCGTTTTGGGTCCCATGTTAATATCTTCCCTTGGAAAGCGCTCATTTCTCAATGTCTGCCTTGATTATCTCCTCTTTGCTCTGGATGATGCCCACTCACTTTCCTGCAGGGCAACCCTGTCTCCCCAGGAATCCCGTCTGCCCCCCATGTTGGGCTAAGGCTGTGGACATGCAGGGTCCCATTACTGTAACTAAAGAGAAAGAGAAAGGACTGCCTAACCACTGAACCACACCCCTGGTTCACCACAGCACCACCCTGTAAGGATGGTAGGAACAGAGCCACCCAGTTCTAGAAGTTCAGCCTCTACCTAGAAGGAGCACCCAGGAGCACAGCAGGATGGTGGGTGTCTGGCTCATAAGACAGAGGTTCTTCTAGTCATGTACCTGTGTCAAGCCCCATAAATGGAAGTGGCATCTGTCTGTGTGTCAGCCTACAGTGAGTGCCCCCATCTGCCCAGACACCTAAGCGCTTGACAGGAAGGAAAATGTGCATCGTTGCCAAGGCCAGCGTCAGACACAGTGGCTGGCGTCTCGGGGTTAGGTGTTAGCATGTCCTGGGCTTACATCCCAGCCCTCACAATTACGAGCTCCCTGGCCCTGGGCATGAACCTCTCTGAGCATAAGCTCCTTCGTGGATAAAGTAGGCTCAGCATCTAGCTCCCCAGTGTGGCTGCAGCAAGGATCCCACAAGGTAAGAGCTGAAAAAGGCCTCAGAATCTGTAACCAAGCCCAGGCCAGGAACCCAGGCTGTCTCCTCTGCTTCTGGGAAGCTATTACTTCCCTGATTTGGGATGTTTCTTACCTGTTAAAACCTTCTCTTAACAGACAAAAAAAACAAAAACCCCGGTCTCCTTCTTTTGTCTCAGTAGTCATGGTGAAGTTCTTTGGAATCAGCCTGAACTGCACTGATTGTCCAGCTGCGTGTGCCAGTCCCTGGCACAGACCCTCCTTCCTCTGAATCACACCCCCACTGGGGCTCCCTGGAGGACATGGGCTACAGGAGCAAAGTCCACAGGGAAAAGTGTCTCCCTACCTGTGAGGCGCTCTAGGGCATCAAATCCATGTTTCAGCGCTATCACGTCAAGGAACGAGATGGTGCCGTCTTCAAACCTGTAACCAGGGTGCGGGGAACAGGGTCAAGCCGTGGTCCATATCTCCACGTGCATTTTGTGGTATGCAATGAGGTTTCCATTCTAGGCTTAGCCATAATCTATGAGAACCTTCCCTCTGCTGCCTTGGAAAGCATTGCTCTCTCCCCCTCAGGACAATGGGCTTTGCACAACGAGCCCCGTGGGGCTGCCTCTGTCCCGGGTCCTCTCTGCAGCTTTCCCAGGATGCCTGGAGGCAGCGACAAAAGACCCTAAAAGACAGCCACCATCTTCAGACATTAACAAGCAGAGAGAGGCTTTGCTGCCCCAGGAAGACTTTGGACTTGACAAAACCTCAGGTGCTCTGGGCTCTTGAAATGCTGCACTTGACCCCGAGAGAGCACGACTGACAGGGCATTAGTTCAGGGTGATCAACCATGCAGCTCTGGGGGTCTTTACCAGAGTCTGTGATTCCAAAGTCTACAGAACCACAGGCTTTGGTAAATAAAATAAAATTAAATTAAAAATAAAAAATAAATTTTGAGGCTCTCAATACAGCAGATGTACCTCCTCTTGACTATCAAGGTGTTCATATGTTGGCATTTTATAATTATTCATTCAGTAAAAATATTCACCAAGTCTTTTTTGTGCTGGACACTGTTCTAGGTGCTACGGATGTAGCAGTGAACACCACAGGTGAAGCCCCTGCCCTCACAGAGCTTCCATTCTCTTGAGGGCACAGAAATGAGGAACACACATGCAGAGAGAAGCCAAATAAGCAACAAGCCAGGTAGTGATGAGTGCAACAACGATGGGTAATCCAGAGGGCTGGAGGTTGCCTCAGACGAGATAGTCAGGGGAGGTCCTCTCCGAGGGAGATCATTTGAGCAGAAACTGAAGGGAAGTAAGGGAGTGGGGGAAACCGCCCACTCTGAAGCAGCGAAGTTCCCAGGTTCAGAATGAACAGCATTCCAGGGAGAGGGTGCGGCAAACACCCTGAGCAAGCAGAGCCCGACTCAGTCACAGAACAGCACGGAGGTCCATGGGGCCGGGAGGAGCGGACGAGGTAGAGAGTGGTGGGACAGTCAGAGAACTTGCACCGTGCATGGGATCATAGAGGCTCCAGGGCTCTAAGCAGGGAGGAGTGACAAGATGGGACCTAGACTTTGACAAGACACCTCTGGCTGCTGCAGAAGCAAAGGGGAAGCGGAGACATGAGGCAGTTTCAGCAAGGACGAAGGATGGCGGCAAACAGCTGCCTGGTACAAGGTGAAGCTTGTAATGGGAATATTGTGCTTTGTATTCTAACAGTCTAGGGATAAGATTTGCTCAAAATATTGTTACTGCAATATTAATTTCCTTATAAAACTAATGGTAATTAATAGACATACAGAATTAATAATGAATAATTAATTCATAATTAATGAATCTATAATGAATAAACTAATTGATCACTAATGAATTAGTATATGATCTTTAATACATTAAACATATTAGCTAATAATAACTTGTTATTAATTGGTCGATAATTATTTTCTAGTCAATAATTAATAGGTTCTTAGGGGGAAAGGAAGGTCGTTTGTCTCCATCACAGGTTATCAAATAGAAGAGATTAACACATGTTCCAGGTAACGTGCTCAAAAAATGTTTAGGTTGCGTGTTAAATTCCTTGAGTTCTAGTCCTAAGTTCACAAGAAAAGAGTTAGGCTTCTAACTGTAAACAAAGACCTTCAGGTTCCTGGGAACCTTGGCGGGCACCTGCTGTACGTGAGGCAGCCCACCCAAATCGAAGGAACGTGGTCCGGTCCAGCCCAGCCAGTCAACACTCTGCCTGAAAGAACTACCCCACTTCTCTCTGCCTTCACCCAGCCTATCGGCTCAGTAAAGTTGGGCTGTCGCCCTGGCCAGTGTGGCTCACTTGGTTGGAGTGTCATCCCAAAGCCAAAAGGTTGTGGGTTTGATCCCTGGTCTGGGCCTGGGCGCGTGCGACCCCTGGCGGTCTAACGATCCCTGGTCCAGGCAGGTATGGGAGGAACCAATCGATGTTTCTCTCTCGCATTGATGTTTCCCTCTCTCCCTTTCTCTCTCTCTAAACACAATGAAAAAAAAATGTCCTCGGGTGAGGATTACAAAAAAAAATTGGGGTTGTCATTCTGTTCTGCCTTTAATTTATATATTGTGCCTATCTTTCTATTCTCAGTCATATTACATGCTCTATTATCACACTTGAATTCAAAGCAGTTTATATTAGTGTTCCTGTTTCAGAATCCCCCACCTATGGAGGTCTGAATAAAAACAGACATTAAATAGCCTCATCATGTGTGGATGCCAACTCCATCTTGGTGCTTCACCTATATTAGTTCTAAAAAAAATCATACCCTTTTAGAGGCCCACTTTATGGGAAAAACAAGAGGGGCAGAGGTCAAGCCACATGCCCCTGTTCCCACAGCTGGTGTGCGCTGAGGCCAGGATTCACTCTCCAGCAGCAAACCAGCTCTGGGGCCTCCACACTTAGCCAATAACTCCCCTGTCAAAGCCACACCCCTCTCTGCAGGACCCTTGAGCCTGCACCTGGGTCTGTGGGGGACCTGGCCCCCTTTCCCACCTAGCCTTCTCAGACACCAGCAGGCGACCCCGCCTGTCCCAACCCCATGGAATCCCCTCCTGTTGGAAGCAGCAGAACCCTGATTCAGCTTCCATTTTCACTTTCTCCCATACTCAACCTCGTAGGTACCAGCCATATCTTTCTGGGAAATTCCCAAACATAGCCCACATCACGTGCTCCCCAGCCTGAGGAAGACACATACGCCATCAGAGGCCTGTGCCATTTGATGACAAGTAGCCGCTGGCCATCCAGTGTCCTCTGTAACTCACAGCAGGGCTCACAGAGGCTGCTGTCAGCAGCACCCCACAGCCCTGGTGGCCTCTAGTTTAACTGATTCCTCTTATTAACTAGGGCCAAGATGCGCTGATTCTAACAGCTGTAAACCAGCTAAAGGATCTTCAGATGCTTTCACCTCTTCTGCTTGCAGCCTTTTCCTGCAGGCCCTTGTCCTCCCACAGCTGGGAAGCAGCGGACAGAAGCAGAGCCAGCCACGGACCTCCCCCTCCCACCTCTGAGCCCAGCTGCCAGTAAAGGACACCTCCCCTGACCCCAGTGGCCCAGCCTGATCCCCTGCACAACCCTGCAGGGGGCCCAGGCCAGACGCCAGATTTGCTGAACTCTGCCCAAGCCACACCCACGGTGAGGTTACCTTTCTGCCACCGACTGCCTCGGGATATAGAAGTCTTCTCCTGCAAGGTACGCCGCCGCAGTGCCTCCTCCAAAGTAGGTTTTCCTCAGCAGGGGAGCCACCCGGTTATGCACCAGCAGAGCGCCCAGGCCGGTGGGGAAGCCAAAGATCTTATAGAAGGAGAGGGGGACGAAATCAGCCTGGTGAACCGACAGGTCCAAAGGGGAGGTGCTCACGTAGGAGGCTGCGTCCAGCAGCACATACCACTTCCCAGGCACGCCCACAGGGCACATCTGTCCGGACTTGACCTCTCCTATCCAGGACAGAGGGTATCTGGTCCCGGAAAAGTTACTCTGAGCCGGATAACAGAAGAGATGCACGAGCTGGCAGTCGGGATCGCCGGTGGCGGCACCCCGCATCTCCGCCAAGCACATATCCTCTGGCCTGATGGGCACGCAGGTGACGTTCTTGGCTCTGGCAACCGTCCTCATGCCCACCACGGAGGTGTGGTTGTCGGTGAGGTAACAGAACAAACTCCCGCGGCTCTCCGGGCCCGGGGACACCCAGGGGAAGGCCTCTGCCACCAGTTTCAGGGCGGCCGTGCTCCCCGCTGTGAAGACCACACTGTAGTTGTCCGGGGAGGTGTGGAAGTGCGCCAAGATCCTGGAAGAAGCACAGCGTGGAGACAATGGCTTGGTCTCGCTCCAGTATCCAATGTTTGGAATTAGTTGCATTTCTACTAAATGTGACATCTGTCTACCTCAATAGCCAAAAAACAAACACATGAACAAACACACACCCAGATAGGCTCTGCCATCTCTGTGAAGTTAGGGCAGGTACAAAGGTGGTTGTGGGAAGAGGTGACAAATGCATTCAAACTGGCAAAATCATCTTGCCTCCCAACTCCCTACCACCCTCACCCCCCGCCCCAGGAGAAGACAGAATTCTACAACTACCTTCACCTTAGTTGAAAACAGCCCCCCCACACACACACACACACACACCAGCCTACTTTGTAGCTCTGTCATAACAAGTTTTAAGTCATTAACTTGTTTCATGCTACTTTTAATATTGGCAACCCAGTATCCGTTTCAGATTGGAAACAATTAAATATTGTATCAATTCAAGTAGCATTAGGTACCACCTGAAAATTATTTACCAAAAACTAATTATTACATATGGAAAAATATAAAGAACTTTTTAAAAAACATTTTATTTTTTTTATTTTTAGACAGAGGGGAAGAGAGGGAGAGAAACATCAATGTGTGGTTGCCTCTCACATGTACCCTACTGGGAACCTGGCCCACAACTCAGGCGTGTGCCCTGACTGGGAATTGAACCGTCAGTCCTTTGGTTTGCAGGCCAGCGCTGAATCCACTGAGCCACACCAGCCAGGCTAAAGAGCTGTTCAATGTGTGACTATTATTTTTAAAAAGAGGGGATGAATAAAACAAGATGCCTAAAGAAACATGAAAAGAAAAACCAGAGAAACTGTTTTTCTTCTCTCTAAAAACAAGACTTACAACCTGGGTCACTCCTCATCACCCCGTTCCCTAGGAGCCATGGCACCAGCCTGGTGCTACACATACAGTGTTGCACGCTTCAGAGCTGCCTACCTGTGCCTCTAGTCTTTCCCTCTTGGCACCTACTCACTCTCACCTTCCTGTCCTCTGACCCTGATCTTTATATCATTGTGTGTGTGGCCATTTAGCTGAAAGTTATGTTTCTGAAACCAATTCAGAACCTCTGTGGGATGCAGGCAAACAGTAGGAAGGAAGTCCATACACCTGGGAGTGCCCACTCAGGCTGGCGTCCCTGCCACTCACCTGTAGCGCACCTGCTCCACGGTGTCGTGGGTGAGCTTACTGCTGATGTTCTGGCTGTGAGGATTACCTGGCAGGTTACAAAGACAAAGCCATCAAGTCACTCACTACTTGTGTTCCTCCAAAACCCTGTCCCTCAGTTTCTGAAAAAGGTAAGCATAAAACTATCATACGCCCCAGAGACTTCGTTCCTATGTATTCAAGAGATATAAACAGGTTCACACACAGAGACATGCACCTGAATGTTCGCAGCAGCTCTATTTGTCAGGAACATAAGTGTCTGTCCACTGGAGAACAGAGAGATAGAATGTAACATGTCCATACAATGGAAAACGATCTGTCAGTAAAAAGGAACAAACTGCTGGCTGTGTCGTGCATGAACCTCCAAAGCACACTAAGTGAAAGATGCCAGACACAGAGATCACATGTTGTATGATTCTATTTACAATCTCCAGCAAAGGCGAATGTGTAGAGATGCAGAAAATAGTAGGTTAGTGGTGGCCTGGGCTGAGGGTGAAGGGATGGAGGGTGGGGGGCTGAAGGGGGTGGGGGGTGGGGGGAGCAACAGAGATCAACTGTGAATGGGCATCAGCGACCTTACTGCGGGAATGAAAATATTCTAAATGATTTATAGTGATGCTTGCACCACTTGGTAAAGTTACTAAAAATCATTAAATTGTATTCTTGAAATAGGTGAATTTTATGAATATAAAATATAACTCAAGAAAGCTGTTAAGCAAACAAACAAACAAAACAAACCCCTCTCCTCACTAGGAAAACAAGACAGGATCTAGGAAGGGCATTTTGGACAAGGGAGTCAGCTCAGAGGCAGCCAGGCCAACGCAAGACGCTTTTCTGCAGATTTCCCCGCAGACGCCCAGCACCTTCTGTTCATTAACTCCGGGGAGCCAAGTCGACACACTCCGGAGGCGGCCCTTTCCCCTAACCATGGGACAGGACCATGAACACCCCACAACCTCAGTCCCCATCTGTCACCTGCACCTACTCACGCCCCTGCTACTGGCACTGTGTCTGCAAAAACACATACGTCTCCTCCTCCAAATGTTTGGAGGGGCCATTACCTCTGCCTGGGGCCACCCCTTCCCAAAGCAAAAGACTCTCCCAATTTCACCTTTCCCGTGTCGGTTTCTAGATTTTCTCCCCCGACCTGGTACGGCCCCTATGTCTGTCCCAGAATACCTCCCTCAAAACAGAGCCCCCAGATGGGAACACAGACCTTCCTGAGGCCTGTCCTGCCGGGCCTGGTCATCAGCATTCCCAGGAGCAAGACCACATGTTCACATTAAGGCAAACCTTGTGATTTTCTGTTTTGGGTTTTTTGTTTTGGTTTCCTCAAAGTACACTGGGTGTTTGGCCATTTGCTACCAATATTCCTTTTCCATGTCAGCCAGTAACCTGCGACTTGCCCAGATCGCCTTTCATCACCTTGGTTTGTGGCCCCGTGTCATTAGGACCACCTGCACCGTCTCTCCGGTCAGCCCCTTTCCGACCATTGTGACTCTCACACAGGTCAAGCAAAGAGAACTGCAGGTCTCTTTGAGGACCATGGATTAAAGTCAAGATAAAGTGCCTCATGGGCATCTTCGCCGGAGACCATTCCCCAGATGTGAGTATCTGCTGGCTACCAGAGCCTTAGTGTGGCAGGACACAGTGTTGTGGCCTGGGGCATCTGGTGCAGGCTAAGGGTTTGCACTCTGGAGCCAAACTGCCTAGAGACTTACCCCCCTTCTCCCCCTAGCTGAGGGTAATACCTGCTCTCTTGGGGGCCCGTTCCTTCACTTGTACAACAGGGGTGATAACAGAACCTAGCTTGTCAGGAGACTGGAGAGATAACAGGGATGAAGCATTGGAACAGGACCTGAAGAGCCAGGAGTGCTCAGTACAGTTATTATTCACTGCTATTAACATTGCCGCTGTTGCAGCTGCTACTACTGGTATTTCAAACTCCTTTCCAAAGTTACCTCCTGATTCCATTACGCTGCTGATTAACGCCCTCAGTGACTGGCTATTGTTTCTAGAATAAAGATCAGACTCTACAGGGCACCTATCAGGTACCACCCAACCTCTCCATTCACACTTCCACTGCTCCCTTCCCCTCCCTCCGAGTTCCTGGGCTGGTTCCTGAAACTACAGCAGGGGCTTGGCTCCTGCGGTTCCCTCTGCCTGGAATGCCCCTCTCCCGATTCTTTTCCCAGTGAGTGCTGGCATGGACCCCCCTCCTAGGGAAACTTCCCTGACACTCACCCTGCCACCCCACTGTCACTGTGTAGATCCAGACCCCCATGGCACGAGAGGCCTTCACAGAGTTGGTAATCTACATTTATTTGGAGATCACTTCATTAAGGTCTTGCCTTGACTCAACCAGAGTCCAGAGTCCACGAAGGCAGGGACTTTGTTGCCATTTGTGCCATGCCCCAACACCAGAGGGGCTGAACAAATATTTACGGAGTGAATGAACATATGACTGTTCCTTCTGTTGTCCCACTCTCTGCGGAGTGCCAGTCATACAGAGTTGTCACACCACCAGATACAGCACCTTGTGCCTCTGTGCCCTTCTTGACGCTGACCCCTTCTTCCAGAAGTCACCCGTGGGTCCCTGAGCCAGTTCTCCCACATCGGCGGCATGCGTGTTATGGGGAATGACATGTGTTTGCCTGGTCCCCTCTTCATCGTGCTTATTCAGCTTTGGGTGTCGGGCTCAGCCCCATTCTATTAACCCAGCATGTATTAAGCAGAGATATATTAGCTGAATGTAGCTGGCTGAAGTTCAATGCAAAAATCAGTGATGGTGTGTTTTTCTTTACCATAAACATTTTCCGTGAGATCCTGAGTGAAGCTAGTAAGCTGGCTCTGGGCGAACAATGTGGCTCCTGCGTGGTCAAGGTAGACTGTTCCTGAAAGAAAGCACAAAATAAAGCTGTGGTTCATTTTCAAAGGTTTTTCCATTCATTTTACCTAGCGCTAATTTTTGTGAGCTTGGGCAGTGCCCATTTGATGCGTTTAGACATAACACCACACCAATCATACCTCCCAGTCTCTCGGTATATGCTGCTTAATCCAAACGTAGACGTGAGCAACGGAAGAACTACCTATTTAATGACCTTTAGAGCCCTGAGAGAGCCTTCCTGCTGAACCAGCTTTCTTATGAACCTGGAAGAGCATCTCACGTGGAAGAGGAGCCCGACAGATGTCTGTGATGGATGACGGAGAAGCTAATTCGCCTGTGACTCACACCCACTTCCGGCGTCTGGATGCAGCTCCCCTGGTGGGCAAGCCCCGATTTTGCTTTCCCAGGTGGATTCTGCACCTCCTGGAGGCTTTCAGAGCTTCAGAAAATACTAGTGCATAACTTCAATGAACCTTTCGGCCTCTTTCATAAACCGAGAAAGTCAAATTTAGATGAGAGTAAGATAGCGAGGTTTACCCACCAGGTGGCCAAGATCAAAAGGGTGATAAGTCACTGCCTGGGTGAGGGTGTGGGGAAACAGGCCCAATGGTATATGACTGGGAGGAGGGCAAATCGGTACAACTTACTCATGGACAGCAATTGGGCAATATTGGTACCACTTTAAAATGCAAACTCTCTTTGACCCAGCAATTCTTCTTCTAGGAATCGATCCTATAAACAACTGTGCTTTTGTGAAATGGCCTTTTTATGAGGATATTCAATGCAGCATTGTCAGCCATAGCAAAAAAATCAGGAATGAATTGAATGATCATCACATCACCATGCATTTAGAATGAAGAATTATTGTACACCCGTCTGGCACTATCAAAGTACTGACATGGAACAAACTCGGAGGTGCATTTTCAAGAGCATACAAGGTAAATAGATTTATTCATTCTTTCCTTCACTTAACAAATATTTTTTTTCTCAGCAGGATGGGTTTTGTTTATGACAGCTTCATTGAGATATTATTCCCATAGCATACAATTCACCCTTTTAAAGTATCCAGTTTAATGGTTTTAGTATATTCATAAACTTGTGCAACCATCAAAACTAATTTTAGGAATTTTCTTTCATCCCAAAAAGAGACCCTATACGCACTACCAATTACTCCCAGTTCCAGCCCCAGCAACCACTAATCTACTCTGTGTCTCCATATTTGCCTATTTGCATATTTGAATGAAATCATACAAAATATTGTCTTTTGTGTCTGCTCTCTTTCCCTTAGCATAATATTTTCCAGGTGCATCCATATTCGAGCCTGCATCAGAACTTCATTCCTTTTTATGACTGAATAGGATGCCATTGTATGAACACAGTATTTTTGTTCAACCATTCATTGGCTGATGAACACTTGGGTTGTTCCCACTTTTTTCTCTATTATAAATAATGCTGCTATGACTGTTTGTGCACAACTTTTCTCCCAATCACTGGGGTGTCATTTCGTTTTTTTTAGTGTATCCATTGAAGCACTGAAGTTTTAATATTGATGCAGTACAATGTGTCTATTTTTGTTGTTATTGTTGCTTGTACTTTTGGTGTCATAAGAAACCACTGCCTCATCCAAGGTCCTGACTATTTAATTATCCAGAGCCACCATGTACTCAGACAAATTCACAGACCTGCAGAAAATCTATGAGGGGAGGGAGAAGGAAGAGGAATTAAAAGTTATGTTGTTTTGTTTTTCCCTGCCCTATGAGGGGAAAAAAGGTGGATATGTTCCAAGACTCCTGGTGGTAGGAAGGGTGAGGCTAGTCCACAAATGCCTACTTCAACCATAATGTAGAGAAAATGCTGGGGACATACATGAAATAGATAAGTAAGGATGCATGCAACACTACCACAGGGACAGACAATCCTCAACTGTTGATGGCTTGACTTACAATTTTTTGAGTTTACAATGGTATGAAAGCCATACATATTCAGCAGAAACTGTTCCTTGAATTTTGATTTTTAATGGTCTAACAATATGCAGTAGGATCTTCTCTTGTGATACTCAGCAGTGGCAGCAAGCCACAGCTCCCAGACAGCCATGCCTTCACGAGGGTAAACAACTGATGCTCCAGTGTGTTCACAGTGTTAGGTGATTTTGCCCAACTGTAGGTTATGCAAGTGTTCTGAACACAGTTAAGGTAAGCCAGGCTAAGCTATGGTGTGTGGTAGGGGCATTAAATGTCTTTTCGGCTTAGGATATTTTCAGTTTATGATGTGTTTATCCAGAGGTAACACCACGGTAAGAGGAGGAGAATCTGTAGTGGAAGATGTTAGAACCTGAAGCCCAGCCCGAAATCCTGGCGATCACATCTACATTATACATTGCAGGGAAAAGGTGCTGCTCGTTAAAGGATAAGAGTGAAACAAGGAGGTGCCCAGAGAACACAGCTGTACTTTCCCAGGGGGGTGTTCGGGGTTCAGCCAATGATGGTGTGAGGGATCAGAGCTGGAGGAGATTAGGGGACTAAGGTGTTAAAATAATTATGGACTGGATGATTACAGCTTCTGGGACTTGCTTCAAAAGAATGGGAAACCTCCCTCCCTCCTTCTGCACCTGTGGGTGTTTGTCGTATCTATTTCTGTGGGTAGGAAGTCTCTACAGTAAAAACGTTCAGAGAGAGAACCCGGAGGCTGAGGGACAAGGGCTGTCCCTGCGGGTGCATGTGCCAGTGTGAAGAATGGGGTAGAGCATGCCAGCCAGAAGGTCCCAACCTCCTGAGCCTCCCCAATTAACCACAGTCAGGGGACACCCAAAGAGGAGGCCACAGCCCTCAAAGCCATTCAAAAAGAGTCACTAACTGAAACATAGGGAAATGGCCCAAAGAGCTGGAATCAGCTACCTGATTAATGAAATGTAAATCATGGCTGCTGTTCTGCCACCAGCAGGGAGCAGTCACCAATTACCATATTTTCCCCGTGTATAATGCGTACACTTATTTTTCCCTCAAAATTTTGGGCAAAAAAAGCATGCACTCTACATGGGTAGTACTAATTCCATATCTATATACATGTTTTTCATTCTTCTATTTATGCTTATGTGTTAAAAGTATAACTCTAGAAAGTAATAATGATATCTATATGCAAACTAATATCCTGGAATATGATCATCAGTTTTGTTTCTAAATATAAATAAATAATAAAATTTAAAAATTAAAATGAAAGGTATTTTTCCTGAAAGTTTGGGCCCAAAATGTGTGTGTGCATTATACCAGGGAGCTCATTATACACGGAGAAGTACGGTAATTGTTCATCAAGACAATAAATGCACTTCAAACCCAGGTGCCTACACCGTGACCTGCCACTTAAATAGGACTGTCCCCTCTCTTGGCACGCTGTTCTTAAGGCTCATGGAAGCCCCTCTCACAAGTTTTCTGGCTAAAGGGTCAGTCCTACTCTGTGCAGGGCGCGACGGGGTTCCCGCCTTGCATTAATGGGCTGGGAACCGCCACAAGGCCAGATCCAGCTTGATTTCAAAGTTAACCGAACTGTTCCACTTTTCGGGACTTAGAGGCACAACGTGATCAATCTCCATCCTCCTGTCCAATGGACAGGCTCGCCTTGTACTCAACGCTCAAATTTTACAATTTGCTAATTCTTCAAGTGCCCAGCAAGCTCGAGTTCAGAGGCATTGTTTTAAAGTGAGAAAAAAAAAATGAAGTTTCAAAAATAAAAGCTGCTGGTCAGCCCTCTCAGCAGCCTGGAACGCAGTCTTGGGGGCGGGGCGCAGCCGGGCAAGGGGGCGGGGTGCTGGGCCCTGCCTGGCGGCCTTAGCCGGGTCACGCCCGCCGCACTGGTCGCCTACACACCACTGCTGTGTCCAGACGAGCAACAAAACAGCCTGGGCCACTGGACATTCTTGCATTTTACAACCACAGTCCCAGTTGGACCTTTAGAGCCGGCACTCTGGAAGGCAGAATTTTAAGCCCTGTTCGCGGAGGACGGGGACAGGTGAAAAAAGTCTAGGTTGGTCCTATCCCACTGGAAACTCTAAGGAGCAAGACAGCAAAAAGTCTCGGGGCTGCAGGTGGGGGACCCCAGGGAGCCATATCTACGAATCGGACGCGTAAACACGTCCCTCCAGGTCTTCCCATTCAAAATAAGCCCCAAATGAGGTAATGTCATTCCCATCTGGTGCTGAAAGCTCCTTAGGAACCGCATGCCCCCCACGCTGCCCCGTCAGCCCGGCGCTGGTGCACCCCCGCCCCCCGCCCCCCCAGTCGCTCTCACCTGCCAGGCGGCCGAATTCTCGCGCCCGCAGTTCGCTCAGGCTGTGCGGGCCATAGCTGTAGGTGAGTGGCTGCGTGCTAGAGTGTGGGAACGGAGCGAAAGGCAGCAGTTCGGCCCCCGGCTGCTCCTCCCCGCCAGCCATGACCTAGGCCTGCCTGCCGCGCTGTCCGGGCCACCCTGGCCGGAGTGAAAGCCGGCCCACACACACTCTGCCTCGCCACGCCCGGGCCGCGCCTCCCCCGCCCAGCAATGACACCAGTCCACGGTCCAGGGGCGGCGCATCTAGAAACCTGCTGGGTTGGCCTGGGCTGCGCACTTGTGCGCGCGATATTACACGGAGTTTCACTTCTTCTCCTTTTTTTTTTTAAGATTTTGAGAGGGGAGGGAGAGAGGGGAAAAACGCCAATGTGCGAGAGATACATCAACCCTTGCCTCTCACACACCCCCTACTGGGGACCTTGAGTTGCTACTCAAGCATGTGACCGACTCCGAATCGAACCAGCCACCTTTCACTTTTTCCCTGCCCCTTTTCCGCCTGGGGTCGGGGGCGAGAATGTCTGTTTGTGTCGTCGTTGTCGCTTGGAACAGCTTCTCCCCAGAGCCCACGTAGATGCCCCAGAACACTTGGAATGCTAAGTCCTCCTTTATCTATGGTCCCATGGCTAGACTGGTTGAAGAAGCAACAAACTGCATTTTCCTGCTCGGCATCCTCTGGCAATCCTCACTGCCCCACTCTCCGGGGCAGAGCTCTTCACAGCTCCTGGGACCGTCACTCTCCATGGTGGGACCCTAGTGTGCGGAGCAAGGCAGGGCGTTTGCAAGGAAGACTTCCCCAGTTGGTGCTCCCCAGAGGATCGTGTGCTCTGCGTTTCTGAGAATGCAGCTGAGCAAAAGGTGGAGGAAGAAAAATATTGGGGATTCAAGAGGTTAGTTGATAAAGTTTCGGCAGCTGCGCACCGTGCACCGTCCGAGCCTGGTAGCTGGGAGGCGACCGGACTTGAGTGGCTGTTCTGCTCTGCCCTTGCGCCTACATCCGGGATGCAGGGGAAGGGGAGGGTGAGGGGCAGAGTGTCTCTGTCCCTGGACACCAGTGTGTCAAGTAGGGAGGGGCAGGCCAAACCCACCTTCGGGAAGTGCTGTGCCGGGCCCTGGGGCTGGGGGGCAGGTGTAAAAAATGGGGCCCCTCAGGCGCTAATCCTAGGTACCCGACTCGCCTAGGGGAGCAGAGTGAAAGGGGACCAGGTACTGGGGGTCCTGACGAAGTGCAGGGTGTAGAACCAGTGAGGGAAGAGTGTCCTAAGGGATTCAGATGTGGGCCACGTGGGGGAACCCAAGTTTCTTGAAGCATACCGCGGTGGTACGAGGTGGAAAGAGCGCCCACCTCAAAAAAAAACAAAAAAATCATCGCACACGCCCCCACGGTGGTCCTGTGCCTGGGCCGCACGCTCAGTGGAATGAGTGACGCGAGAATGCATGCGGCAGAGTCCTCTGCTGGTATGAAGGGCGCCCAGAAGATTCTCCCATTCGGTGGCCTATCGGGAGAGCCCTGGAGGACTGTGAACAGCCCTACAGCCCCTGACCCAGACCCCCATCTCTCATACCAAGTCTGAAAAAGGGTACTTCGGGGGCTACCCTACTAGAGCTGGTTTCTGCGCGCCCCTGGGCCTCTGTAGCCCCTGCCCACACTGTCCCATCTTCTCTGGCTCACCGCCTAATCACCAGGCCCTTCCTCCCCAAGCGTCACCGCCCATCTCACCCCTTTCTGAATACCTTCTGACCACATCTGCAGCAGGAACCTTGGCCCCCACCCACTGCACTTCCTCCTGTAAACATGACTTCGGGTAACAATAAAAACTAGTGTTAAGGAGTCATTCCTGTGTACCAGACACTGCACTGGTCACATGTACATTTATCTGTATTAATAATGATGCAACAATTAAATAAGCAGATATATGAGGTGGCTGTGACAGATGGGGGAACTAAGGCAAAGAATGACAGTTACTTTCTCAATGGCACACAGAATAGACAAGCAATAGCTCGTACCTGGGCAGTCAGTCCATAGATCCCAAACAGGTGTCCAGCAACCTCTGCTGCCACTGTGGTTCTCAGGGCCTATTTCCCCATCCCTAAATCAGGAGAGGAGCAGGGCTAGCTCCTCCCAGGATCCCAGTTACTGTGTGTGCCCCAACCCCTCATTTTAATGCCCGGCTTCCCAGAGAGGCTTTCTTCTAGGTCAGGCTTTTCCAGTATTAACTTGCACAAACCACCTAAAATGCAGATTCTGATTCTTTAACTTTGGGATGGGGCCTGAGGTTCCGTGTTTCTAACCAGCCTGGGTGATGTGGACTCTCGGGTCCGTGAAGTGCGCTCTGAGTAAGGGCCTAGGTCATTTTCCTGGGCGTGTGAGGTACTTCTCCTGGAGGCAGTCTGTGGCCAAGACACAAACCCCAAATCCACAGGGTGCCACTTTAGGACAAGCTCGCCTGGTGAACAATCTGAATGAGCCAAGTCAGAACTCTTTAATTTTAAATGTTCAATTGTGGTAAAATACACATATCATAAAATTTACCTTAGCCATTTTTAAGTGCACAGAGCTCAGTGGTGTTAGGCACATTCACACTGTTGTGAACCCTTTCCATCGTGCAACTGTTCCTCTTCCCCTCCCCGGCCTTTGGCAACCACCATTGTTTTCTGCCTCTATGAATTTGGCTGCTCTAGGTACATCTTACAAGTGGAACTATGCCATATTTACCTTTTTGTAACTGCTTTAGTTCACTTAGCATAATGTCTTCTAGGTTCATCCATATTGTAGCATGTGACAGGATTTCTCTCCTTTTCTGGCTAATACCCCATTGTTGACCCACTCACCCACTGATGAACACTTGGGGGGTTACTTCTGCCTCTTGGCTCTTGTGGCTAATGCTGCCATGAATGTGGGTATACAGATATCTTAGTTCTTTTGGGTGCATGCCAGAAATGGGATTGCTGGATTATATAATAATTTTATTTTTAATTTTTGTGGGACTGCCATACTGTTTTCCATAGCTGTACCATTTTACAGTCCCACCAACAATGTACAAGGAAATCGATTTCTCCAAACTCTTACTCTGTTTTTGTTTGATAGGAGCTACCTTACTGGGTGTGAGGTGGCATCTTACTTTGTTTGATTTTCCTTTCCCTAATGTTAGTGATGTTGAGCATCTTTTCCTACACTTAATGGCCATTTGCACATCTTTGGAGAAATGTCTGTTCTACTTCTTTGCCCATTTTTCCAGTTGGCTTTTATTTTTTTAATTGTTGAGTTGTATGAGTTCTTAAGGTATTCTGGATAATAACCTCTCATCAGATGTATGATTTGCAATATTCTCCCATTCTGTAGGTTGCCTTTTCAATGTTGTATCCTTTGATTACAGTGCAAAACTTGTGAAGGTCATTTAAAAATAATCACCGAACTACAATTCAGTCAAGAAATATCTAAGCCCTTGGCTTTACCCTATGCTCAAAAGGGTGTAAAGATACTGGCCAACAGCCATGTAGGGAAATAAATGACTGAACAGCCAGCCATGAGGCCACGTGGGCTGAGTGCCCTACCACTGCTTCAGGATGTGGGTGAGTATTGCACAAGAGAGGGAGTTACTTCTGACCAAAGTCCAAGGAAGTACCCCAAAGGAGGAAGCCTTCGACTGGGGCCACAGCCGTGAGCCTGTGAAAAAGGGGAGAGTAGGGGGTGTGGGGGGAGACCAACAGTCTCAGCCTGTAATTGGCACCAAGATTCCCTGGGCCTCTTCTGCCAGAAAGAGCCTGTCAGGAGTCGGACTGCTTGCTCTCACCCTGCCTAAAGTGGAACCTCCAGTCCCCATCAATGAATGTCTTACATGTGTTCATCACTCAATGAGCTCCAGTGTCCTGTCTAAAGAACAGCCACTGCCTCATCTCACCTGGTCCAGCTGCTGGGCCTGGGGCTCAGAGGGCCCTAATCTGGTCCATTCTGAGGTCCCAGGCAACTAGTTTCTGCATCCAAAGTTTACAGCTTTGCAAGGGAACAGCTCTTCAGCTCCTACTTACAGCCCATCTTACCTGAGTTTTCATAGGACCATGAGAACTATGTGCCCAGGGGCCAGACAGAAGAGGCAGTCCTTATTTTCTACTTCAAATTCCTCCTCCATGGTGAGGCTTCACCCCTGTTCCATTCCACTGAGCCTGATTTCATAGTCAGGATGGTGTGTCTCCTAGCAACAGGGTCTGTTTGTGAGAATCTCCCTATACATAAGCCATTCATTCATGTATTCTTTCATTCATTCACTCATTGTCTTGGCAAAAGTTCAATGAGTGCTCTGAATTAGGCTGTGCTGGTCAAGGAAGAAAGTGGGGCAGGTTTGGGGACAGACTTTGAAAGGCTTTAAGCCAGGCTAAGGGACTGGATTTTTATTCTGAAAAATGTTAAGCAAGTAGATGACTCGGGCAGAACTGTCTAACAGGCCTGAGTAGGCTGGGTGAAGTTGGGAGAAGGGGCACAGAAACCAGCTACAACTTCTGACAACTGTCCAGCCCTAAATCACTGAAGATGAAAACCAGCCTTGTCAGGGGTATTCATCCAATGTTCACTGGGCAGCTGCTCCCTGCCAGGAACATGGGAGGTGCTGGGAACACAACAGTCCATACAGCAGCCTCTGGGCCTGAGAAGCACCCAGGACATGAAGGAGAGGGGTCTGTAGTCAGATTACCCCTCTACACTGCAGAGTGCTACAGGAGGGGCCATTCAGCAAAAGTTGAGGCTGAGGGGGTGAAAGCCTCTCATACCTGGGCTTCCAGAGAGTCCTGGAAGAGAAGGTGGGGCAGTAGAGAGGGCAGCACCCATGTGCAAAGGCCTGGAGGTGCAAAAATCTCAGAAAATCCCACAGGCAGAACTTTGAAGAGATGGGAGCACAGGCTGCGATTGTGTGGGGATGAGGAGTGGTCACGCTGAGTGAGGGAAGGGATGAGGCAGACTGCAGTACAGGAGGATCCCAGTGGCTGTGTCAGCCTCGTGTCTGATGCCCCGGGGGCACTGAGGAGAGGCATGGGTGTGGGGAGGCTGCCAGCAGTGCTGATCACCAGAGGCCAGGCAGGAGGCCTGGTGAAGAGCAATGAGGACAGAGCCCCAGACAGTGCAGAAGTGATGGAACTCAGCAACAAAGGGTGACTGATGGGAACTGGCTCAGGGTGACTTGGAGCTGTCAGACTAGGTGACAGGGTGGATGCACAGAGGCAGGAGGCTCAGGTATAGGGAGACAGTGTGAAGCTCACATCAGGACATCTAAGTGGAGATTCAGCCCCAGGGCCC